TCGGTATCGCTCAACCTCCCCCACGAGCTCGGGCTCATTCCCCCCCAGTGAGGTGACGTTCCACGTCCCCAGAGCCAGATGTTGTGTGTGCGGACTGGGTCGCCGAGGTCTCCGCCTTCGACTGCCGCCCAGTCCTCTCAGCACCGCGCCACCACGGACCCCTCTGCAGGTGGTGGGCCCACAGGAGGGACTGCCCACGTCATCCCTTCGGGCTGAGCCCGGCCGGGCCCCACCAGGCGCTCGCATACGAGCCCCGACCCCAGGCCTGGCTCCAGGGTGGGGCCCCGGCTGCGCCATGCCGGGCAACGTCACTTGTCTATTTATTGTGCTGTCCATGGTGATTTTTGGACCGCTTTTCGTCTGACTCGTCACCTGAGACCTGTCTGCCATGGGAGACCCTACCAGGGGCATGAAGCCTAAGACATCATAGCTCCCAGGATCATCCGAGTACTCAAACTCCCCCACCACGTTGAGGTGGCAGTTCAACTAAAACATTACCAATTCTAAAGCTACACATATTATTGCACTATGCCCAATTCTAATTACATGTTGCCTCCGCAAGACCGGCACCCTACCCGGAACGCACCACACCGGACCCACGGACAACAACCACACCCCTCTCAATAAACATTCTTAAATGAATATGTGTGCAATGTCTTTATAACTGCAAATTAGCCATGTTCAAAAGTGCAGTGTGCATAAAGTGCGTGTGGGTTCTCTCCGCTCCGCTCTGACTCTTGGGTTGCCACTTTTTTGGTGCAGTCAGAGAAAGTCAATGTTAATTTCACCAGACTGAAAAAAAGAACACAAACATCATATATTAAAACATGGACTTCACACATTTAAGTTTCTTTGCACACTATGTATTCAATTAATACTAATTATTGGGGCCTTGCTTTCAAATTCCAATAAACTGGTTAAAAATAAAATACCTTCCTGTATTTAATATTAAAGAGGTATAAGCTTCACAGCAGGAGAAACGCTCTGAGGAGGAGCACGAAATAACAATGATAGAATAGAAATAGATGACTGCTGCCGTTGTGTCCTTGGGCAAGACACTTAACCCCACTTTGCCCAAAGCTCCCACTGAAAGATCAAGGCTATGCTCACACTCAGAGAGCAGCCGTCCTCCTGTGGACTCACCACCTGCAGAGGGTCAGTGAGGGGCTGGTGCTATGAGACTTGGGTGGCATCTCTGATTGCCACCCCCCTGACCCAGAAATGGATTAAAGGGTAGAAAATGGATGGATGGAGAATAGAAATAGACACACAAATAATCAACTTAGAAGCATGGCTAACCACTTTAAAGCTGTCTTTATGGAAGTGGGACTTTGTCATCTGCAAATGTCTTTTATTAATGACAAAAGAAACATCTGTATAATGTGCATATGTATATTTATCAGACTATTGAATGAAAAGTTCTTTATAATAAGCCTTGGCCGATTCTAGGATCTAAGGACAGTGGTGATCTGGCACATTTAAGAATATTTAAAGACATTTATCAACATTTATGGGCAGTGATGATTTTTGCACCTTTTGTTATTATTGAGCAAGACACTTAACCCCACTTTGCCTGAAGCCTCCACAGAAAGATCAAGGCTCCTGTGGACTCACCACCTGCAGGAGAATCAGTGAGGGGATGGTGCTTTGTGAAATGGATTAAGGGGAAGAAAATGGATTTATGGATGGATGGATGTTATTATTGAAATTCCTGTTTTCCTGTTGATCCTCTGATCGACAACTTTGTCAAGTCCTTGACTGCTGTTATTAGAGCTGTAAGAAAATAAATTGAATATTTAAAGAAGTGACATGCATAATTTTTTTCCCATAAAAAATAATATTGAGGCTCCTTTATCATTTGGTTGGTTCCTGCTTACAGACAGAGACTAAAGCTCTCGAAACCTGCAGTGAGGAGTTCCAAAGTGTGGTCTGATGAAGCTGTGGAAGAGCTGCGCGCATGCATGGAATCTACAGACTGGGACCTTTTCAGAGCTGCCACAGATAGTTTGGATGAATATACGGACACTGTGACGTCATACATTCACTTCTGTGAGGATAGCATCATTCCAACAAGGACCAGGGTCATCTATAACAAGGACAAACCCTGGTTCACTGCTAAACTCCGGCAGCTCAGGAAAGCAAAGGAGTCTGCTTTCAGGGAGGGGGACCGCAGCGGCTACAAAACAGCTAAATATCAGTTCAGGAAAGAACGGAGAACGACTACAGGAGCAGTTTGGTAACAACGATACTGCTTCTGTCTGGAGGGGCCTACGGGAGATCACCAACTACAAACCCAAAGCCCCCCCCTGTGCTGATGACCACAAGCTAGCTGACGAACTGAACTTATTTTTCAGTCGCTTTGATGCTGCCCTTGACACCTCTCCCTCCCCCACCCCCCACTACTCTAACGACCCACCCATCAGCCCTGCCCCCAGCCTAACAATAGCCGCTAAAGAGATTAAACAACTCTTCTTGAGGCTGCACCCCAGCAAAGCTCCTGGCCCGGACCACGTGTCTCCGGCCACTCTGAGACACTGCGCCAGTGAGCTTACTCCTGTGTTCACGGACATTTTCAACACCTCTCTGCAGTCCTGCCATGTACCGGCCTGCTTCAAATCCTCCATCATTGTCCTCGTCCCGAAGAAGCCCAGGATCACAGGACTCAATGACTACAGACCTGTAGCACTTACGTCTGTCGTCATGAAGTCATTTGAACGCCTGGTTCTCTCCCATCTCAAGTCCCTCACCTCCCCCCTCCTGGACCCCCTGCAGTTCGCCTACAGAGCCAACAGATCTGTAGACGACGCCATTAACCTGGCCCTCCACCACATCCTACAGCACCTGGACTCCCCGGGGACCTACGCCAGGGTCCTGTTTGTGGACTTCAGCTCTGCCTTCAACACAATCCTGCCATCCCTCTCCAGGACAAGCTCTCCCAGCTCAACGTGCCCGATTCCACCTGCAGGTGGATCACTGACTTCCTGACGGACAGGAAGCAGCGAGTGCGTCTGGGGAAGAATGTCTCGGACCCTCGGATTATAAATACAGGAGCCCCACAGGGCTGTGTTCTTTCTCCCCTGCTCTTCTCCCTGTACACCAACCACTGCACCTCCAGCCACGACTCCGTGAAGCTGATCAAGTTCGCGGACGACACCACCCTCATTGGACTCATCTCCAACAACGATGAGTCCGCCTACAGGAGGGAGGTGGACCGGCTGGTGTCCTGGTGCAGTGGTAACAACCTGGAGCTGAACGCCCAGAAGACAGTGGAGATGATTGTGGACTTCAGGAAGAGCACTGTCCCCCCGCCCCCACCCTCCGTGATGGACTCCCCCATCACCTCTGTGGAGTCCTTCCGTTTCCTGGGCACCACCATCACCCAGGACCTCAAGTGGGAGCCGACCATCAGCTCCCTCATCAAGAAGGCCCAGCAGAGGATGTACTTCCTGCGGCAGCTCAGGAAAGCCAAGCTGCCTGCACAGATGTTGGTGCAGTTCTACACGGCCATCATCGAGTCCATCCTCACCTCCTCCATCACCGTGTGGTTTGCTGGAGCCACAGTCAGGGACAAACAGAGACTACAGCGCATTGTGCGCTCTGCAGAGGAAGTGATCGGCCGCAGCCTTCCATCGCTGCAGGACCTGTACGTCGCCCAAGCTCGAGGCCGGGCTGGTCGTATCACAGCCGACCCCTCTCACCCTGCACATGGACTATTCCAACCACTCCCCTCAGGCAGGAGGCTGCGGTCCATCAGGACTAGAACCTCCCGCCACAAGAACAGTTTCTTCCCCTCTGCTGTTGGACTCTTGAACACTTCTTAACCTGTCCCCCCGCCCTTTTAAAGTCACTTTACTGCCCATCATACGTCACTTTACTCCACTGTACTGCTGTCACCTTATATTGTGTGCACCATGTGCACTTGTATATTGTAAATAGTAACTGTAACTCTATTTTAAATTTAAATTTATTCTTTAGAAGTGTTTTTTATTCTTATTTTTATTATCTCTTTTTGACTGTTGCACTGAGCCAAAGCAATTTCCTAGTCTGTGACCTCCTGTTACTTACGTGGCAATAAAAATGATTCTGATTCTGATTCTGATTATACTACTTTGCCCCTGTAGGGAAATCCATTTTCACATGCATATATTTTTGGCTTCTGTCACATTTTTTAGAGAGAAGTGAAAAAGAGAGGACTTCCCTCACTCAGCTAATCAGCTCTGAGCCAAAAGCGTCATTTGTTTTGGATGCCCCTGAAGGAGGTGTTCTGGGCATGTCCCACCAGGAGGAGACTAGGGGAAGACCCAGGACACACTGGAGGGACTCTGTCTGGCAATCCTGAGACTTTCTCAGGATTGCCCCAGATGAGCTGGAGAAAATGTGTCTGGAGAGGGAAGTCTCTGCTTAGACTGCTGCAGCAAAAAATTGATTGATAAAAAGTCAGATACCCCAGCTTTACTCTACTTATTTGAACATTAGCTATTCTCTTTTTTTAGCGGGAAAAGCAGCAGGAGTAAAACAGGTATCACACACATGATATATTCAAGGTGCATCTTTCCGCTTTAACCTGATCTCGGAAACACCCAAAAAAAATGGAAATGAACACTGTTCAAGTCAACTCGGAAATTGAGGCTGGATCAATGGTCCCAAGTTCCCATCACTGTGACAAGTGTCAAATTGTGATTGGAAGAGGCAAGGTGTTTTAAATCACACTGATGGTTTTACTTCAAAATCAACACATTAAAATTTTTTTATTTATTGCCACAAAAGCTTTGCAGATATATATTTGAGTAAGCATGTTTTATTATGACAACATATTCACTCATGTGTGCATGTGTGTGAATGTGAGCATGTGTGCGTCACCAGCTACTCCCAAACACTCTGATTTTGGGAAAATGGAAGATGACATAGATATCTCTGAGTTTCCGAGCTTGCATGAAAGCGGCAACTCCCAACAGGACCTCAGACTCACACAGCTGCAGCATCAGCATCAGCACTAATACCTTGGTTGAGATAGGTCAGTGTCTCGTCCGTCTGCTTGACCGCCGGGGAGGTGGGCGCGCACAAAACGTACTGGAAAGGACCGCCGCCCCCTTCGCCGTGCCTTCCATCTCCGCTTTCAGCCATAAGTCGCGCCTCCTCGTGCTTCAGGAAGGGTGCCAAGGCCTCCCTGTCAGCCACAAGTGAAATGTTAACAGCCTCTTATCTAATCGCCCCATCCACAGAGCACAGAGCTGGGATTTCACAACACAAACATGTAAATTCACCTGTGAATAAAGCCCATGTGTCTTTGGGCTTTATTCACTTGGATTTGACTTGGGGTCAAATCTACAGTTTTAAGTAGACTGAGTTGGCTGAATGACAAGTTTACTTTCTTACCAGCTATGATAGCACCATAGACTTTGCGACACAATCTAAAACAGATGTCACTTTATTCAAACAAATTAATTCCAGAAGTTGTGAGTTTTAAATTTGAAAATAAATAGTCACACACACACACACACACACACTCACACACCAGTGTACACACTGGGGCGTGTCTTGCCCAAAGGATACTTACCTTCGGGCCTTTGTTTGGACTTAGAGACTATTGGATGTAAGTGTCTTGAAGTATATGCAACAACTATTACCAGTAATGATAAGTGACAAAAACATATCACTGTTTATAATTATTGGTCAAAATTGAGGTTAAATCAATTCTGAAAACTTATTGTTTGCGTTTGAGAATTGTATATGTATTTGGTGTGGGGGGATTAACAATATTATTTTTCTAATCTTATTGTAATATTGGGTTTTTTACTGTCTCATTTAACTTGTAAGTTTTTATGATGACTAAACTTCATAGAAGTAAAACAGAACTTCTGTTAAAAACATTGATGCCATTAAGAGATCACTGTAAGAATCCCATGTGGCACCACACAACACAACAAACACTTACATTATACTTTTATACACAACAGGATAACGAGCTGTAGTTGCACAACATGGTCTTTTACCAATAAATCTCATATAAAAGAGTTAAATCATCCAAAAGAAAGTGCACAGTCAATGAAATTTCAGCCCCCAAGAATAAAAAAACTACTCACAGGGCTCTTTGACACAAGTATATGCAAAAGATAACATGTTGTAGGTCTGACAGGCACAGTCAAAATTTGACACAGCAGATCAAAAGGCACATTCACACAAAGCAACGTATGAGAACAGAGGCTTGACTTTGATAAAGACTAAGGCCAGAAGAAGAAGAGTGCTTTCGGGACGTTCTAAGCGTGTTCTTTTCCTGTAAGATATTTGTGTTTTCTGCTTTACCTAATGTAACTAGCAGAGGGCTGGTGGAAGGACTCCGGCTGGGAATGGCAGAAGAGCATGATTTTTGGCGTCGTCTGGATGCTGGGAAAAGCGGAAAAAAACTGCAACCTTTCCAGAGAGCCGAGTCTGCACAGAAAAGCCCTCACACTCTGGCGGTGGCAGCTTTATAGCGGGACGGGGCGATGTCATGAGGGGTATATGGTCATACCTCAGACGACCTTTGCACAGCCCTAGCCCTGCCCACCGCCTGGAGGTTTGGTTATTGTAGTAGAAGCCACACACGCTTAAGCAGTGTTTACATTGTCAACAGCAGACTTTCGACTCATAGTGACTGCTTTTATACAATAGTGCGTGAGGTTAAGATAAGACCAGGTGATAAAGGCTTTAGTTACAAGCAGCTGTTTGCTTATGAGTGATTTATGAATGAGTTAAAGCTAGGTTATGTAACTTTTTTGTCATAAATAAGACATGATGTTTGTCCTAACACAAATATTCTTGTAAAAGTATGATATTTGTGTTGTGTGTACGCTTGTTTCCATCTTGTTTAAAACATTTTTAGCATACTTGTAAGAAAGAGCCCTGTGATTCACTATTTGACATTTGGGCTGAGAGCTGATTGGCTGAGTGGCCCTTTCTTTTTATCTTTTCTGTCTGAAAAAGCTGATTTAAAGATGATCCAAAACATACATTGACTAGTGATAAGGACTTTTATTACATACTGTAATTATAAAGTTGGGTAACCCAGCTTTAATGTATTTTATATTTTGTAAGATAAGATAAACTTTATTGTCCCAAGGGAAATTTGCTGTGGGATACAGTGCTACACAGATCTGCATGAATGAATAAAGAAAAGGAACATTACAGGAAAGGTCAGTAGTGCTTTGAAGTGTCTGTTTGGTCAAAAGAAAATAAACAAAATAATGCAAAAATGAATACAAACATTCAGTTTTGGAGTACATTCATTATTTGTCATTTTTGTTTTTGTTTAAAAGTGCCACAACAGAAGTTACCTCAGAGTACTTTACAAAACTGTTGATTCGCCAACAGACAAATATTGGTAAAAACACATTGGTGTCTTGGATCATCATCTCTGTCCTTAGACCCTTTTTTTTCCCCGCTACTGGACATCTGAATTTTTTCTACGGGGAATCAATAAAGTATCTATCTAAATAAATAAAGACTACTTACTTAATGTACTGTGATTATTTATGATTTTAACATGCTTTTAGTTTCCTTGATTCAGTGCTAAACACATAAGCTTGCCTTGTTTTGCCTTGCCTAATATATGACGCACGCAAAGTGAGATATATTAAGCCTGTATTTACTATAATGTTGATAATTGGCTCATAGCTGTAAAAAACACAAAATAAAACATCTAATAAAAATGGAATATTTTGACTGTAAGCCATAAATAAAATGATAACAAAGGCATGTGTCCCTTTTAAGGTAATGAGTCTATATCATATATTTCCTGAAATAAACTTTTAAGCAATGTTGTTATATTTCTTAGTGCCTCTTGTTTTTCACACCACAATATACTCTTCTTTCCTGAACTCACACTTGGTATTTTATTTTAAAGTGAGCTGACCAAACAGAGGCAGCTGCAAGTCCACGCAGATTTCTCAAAAGTTCATGGAGCAGAAAGTCTGGATCTGCCAGGGTTAATGTTTATACTATGGGGGGATGAGGACAGCTCCGGAGTACAGTGGGCATGTGTGAGCTCAGGCTTGGCGGACACTCGCTGTTGCCGTCCACAAGACAAGAAAGCACCAGGAGAACTAACATGCAAAGACTTGGAAAACTGAATGCGTTTCCAAAGCTATGGTGAAAACCGATTCCTCCTCCATCTTTATTGTAATCAGATTAATAATTCATTGTAGTCCGATTAATACATAAACTTGTGTGCTGTGATTTGGGAGTGAATACCCGTTTGTTTGGAGGAGCAGCTGTGTGCTGGTCCTACTGTGGATGAGCTACATGTAAATATATCCTTATGAGACAACACGCATTTAAGAGCACAAGGAAAAGCCAAACTTGTATTATACATTTATGTATTTGGACGAGTACAGGCTGGATCTGTCCCTTGCTGCTCATGTTTTGTTGGTTACATTTGCCGAGAGTGTGTTTATAACTGAGAGAAGTTTTATGTACACTCACAGTTACACAGTTTGAGAAATAATTGAATGTTACGAGACCCCTTTGAAAGCTTGCTCAGGTCTAGAGTCTTGAAGCTCTTCAGATCTGTTTGAAAATCCACTGAAGAGAGAGCAGATTTTAAACATAATCTATTTACTTAGGCTTTGGAAACTCACTGACACTCGGTCACTTTTGACAGTCATTGACATCGATACACACTTTATGGATAATGTAAAAGTGGCTATGTCCTTATACACTTTTCCATGTTCATTAAAACCAAACCAAGCCAAACCAAACCATAAAACCAAGCTTTCTAGGTTTGCATGTTCAGCAGAACATGCCTGATTGTCAGGGATCCCATCATCACGCCGTGAAACAGAATGGTACAGCAGGTGAATTGCAGTGAACAGACTGCCGAGGTCAAATTGATGACATGGCTACATTCAAATGCTCTATCAGTAAAAAGGGTATGAGTTTTCAGATTCAGATTCATTTATTTGCCATTTGCAGTAAAACCACATTGGAAAAACTGTGCAAGACTACCCCAGTGTGCACCAGACGACACACACCAGAGCTCTTGCCACGGTGCCATCTTTATGGCGCCATGTTTTGACCAGAATATTTTTACACCTGACCCGGGCATCAATGAACTATATGGAAAATGATCTTTAAAGCTATGTTTAGAATGATCTATTTATTTGTTTTGTTCGTATTGATGTATGTTTTTTTGCTGCTCCTGGACACCTGAATTTCTCCTACGGGGATCTATAAAGTGTCCATCTATATGAATTTAGGGGTTCAATAAAGTTATAATTAATTTTTTTTATGCCAATCTTCTGCTCCTAGGCAGTGATTATAGATAGAATTCTGGTGTTAAGCTAGAAACAGTTCAAACTGTGTGTCATGTATGACTATGTATTTTGTACCTGTAATTTAAACAAATGAGAGGTACTATTTTTGTTTGTGCTTAATCACCACTTTTAACTGTTGCTTAAAAAAGGTCAAATATAATGTGTACACATGACCAGTAACCAGATTCTAGAACAGCCTGTTAAATTACGATATGAACCTGAGGGAACATTTCCAGCTCTGGTCCAGACTCATATGTGCTCTCAACTAATCTAGTAATCAATTAAGCGTTTTACATAGACTAGGTTACATGACTTTCATATTTCTATAATGTCAGCAGAATGAAATGATGAACATGTGTTTCATTTTTGATGAAATAACCCATATGTGTAACCGTAGACTGTATATAGATGGACAATGCCAACCTAAAAGTAAGGCGACGCTAACACAAGCAGAACAAATGTCTTTTGTTGTAATTGGCTCGAGCTAGCTTAAGTTCAAATCAGGTTCTTCCGCACTCAGCTAACACTATGGTGACATCAGACCTTGATCAGCCCACTCCTAATATACAGTCTGTGGTCGGTTTTTAATAAGACTCATTGGTTCATGCAACATCAAAGATTGCTGACTGCTGATTGCTGAGTGGATTTGTAATTACAGCACGCAGGAAAACCACCTCTTGGTTTGTTTATTTCTAGAGCAAACATTTGAATTTTACATTGTTTTTAACCTACCACTGGAGTGAACAAAGAAAAATCTGTACAGGAGACAAGTCAAAAGATACGAGGAATATTACATGAGTGGTAAGACAAACAGGGACATGCATAGTGGACAGAGCTTTTTGCGTCCGGGATCCAGCGTTTTTTTGTCCATGAGAAAAGGCCTAAAAGGGAAACAAAACCTAGTACCAAGACCAAAACAAGTTTAAAATTTTACATTGTTCTTTACATTCGTTAACTTAAATAAGCAGTTTGGCCCGTTCAGAAAACCCCCCAAAAAGTCCTTTTTTATAGCACAACAGAAATACAAACAGTAATACTTTCATGATAATTAATTTCAAGTCAGAATATGGCAAAAGTAATAAATAATTCATAATAACAAAACACATAAGCCTAAACATGATGGACGTACATTTGGTATTTTGGACATTCAATTGTGAGCTTCAATGTCAGCTTACCCAGCATGAATTTTTGACAATTTTAGTGCAGTTATCTTATTTTTAAATATATAAATAGACTACATTTGAGCTATTTTACACTTATTTCGTGTTTGTAGTCATTTTAACCAGAACCCACTTTCAAACGCTTGGGTGGCAGCTGATTGCCACCCCCTCGACCCAGAAATTGCACAAAGGGGAAGAAGATGGATGGATTGTTAGCATCATAGCAGTTAGCATTATGGCCATGCACACAAATCCCAAATTCACTATTCACTAAATTACTATAAAGTTAGTTAAGTTACATTTACTCACCATTGTATTGTGGATTTGCAATGGTCTTTTAAAGAAAATAAGTTATTATTTTTACAAGTATTATCAAGAGAAGGCTCATTTGATGGCGTGAACATGCTAAATTAGATAAGAGGTCGAGGAAGCCCAAATGTAAACTGAAAATTAATCTAGACATAAGCACTTGCTGGACTATTAAGCACAATATCAAAAGAAAGTCAATTTTGTTGACATATAAACCGCATTATGCTATAATAGCACTTAACCAACAGGTCATAGAGAAATCTTTTAGGTGATAGACTGGACAAAACATGATTGAATGACAAGATGTCTTAACAATGAGCATTGAATTGTGTATGTACCAGGAAGCAGCATTATGTGCATTGTGTACAGCTGATGGAACCTGATCCCTTCCTGCCCCCCTGGGGGCGCTCTAAAAAATAAATAAAAAAAAACATACATTTCTATAAAAGCAGATTGTAGATTAAATCAAAGTAGCGGCTTATAGTCCAACAAGAGCTGTCATTACACATAATGTAAATGTAACACTAGCAACCAAATGTTACAAGTACAAGGCTGAAATAAAAAAAAGCAAGAATTTTAAGAATTTGGTCATATTCAAGCAACTGTGAAAAAAATATCCCACTCCACTTTAAGCCAACTTTATAGAATTGTTAAAAATGTATAGAAATTGAGAATCGAGAACTGGGACACGTTAATTACTATCATCACATGAACCACCTGCATCTGATAGCCAGATCCCGTAAGAACTCTGTAGCTAAGCAGGACAGGGCCTGGTTAATATTGTGATGGGAGACCTCTGGGAACAAGTGCAACTGTGGGTTGGCTGCAAATTGCTAAAACTGTTGTTGTTGTCTTCTTAGGGACAACAACAGAATCTTTGTGTGCATGAATGGTTGGTGGTGGTCACAGGGTCCAATGCACATACTGCTTAACTTGCTTCTGTCAGAGCGCCCCAGGGCAGCTGTGGCTACAGCATAATTTTATCACCACTGTATCTGAAGTGAATGAATAAAGCATTTGAGCATCTAAAAAAAGCATAATATAAAAAAAACAAAAAAACAATGCATTGTTAATAAACATTCCAACAAAATTTTCAACAAATTGCCTTGCTAAAATTCCTTATCATTCATTCTTAACATTGAAGGTTTAGGCAATTTATTACAATTCATAAAGTATGATTCTACTATCTTATTTCATTCAAGGCTTGGTATTAATCTTTTTATATGTTCCCAGGTTGAATACAACAGGATTTAACTTAATAAAGATGTTACAAGTGCACTTTACCAGCCAAAACCGCTGGCACATGCAAACTACACACTGGTGAATGTCAACGTAAGCTGTGGTCCAAAAGTGTATGTACAAAACGCATTTGTTTCTGGTGAGGTTATTGCAGAAGCTGAACTAATACTGGACATTTTTCACATTTAAGCAAAGAGATTCAGGGCAGTACATCCTCTCATTCGCACAATAAGGCCAGGTTTTTTTTTGTCTTTCAGATTGCTGGTTTTGCTCCCAAAACTCCAAGGATAATAAAAGGAATTATTTACAAAAATTAAATAAAAATTAGACAGTCAGTTGTCATAGTTATACATACAGTACAGCCTCGCAAATTTACAATGGCCGCTGCTGAGAAGCCTTGGGAAGAGGATTGTTCGAAGTCCGAGAGATTGATATGATTCAATAGAAGGATTGTCAATTTTGAAGCCAATTTTGACACATTGGGGATTTGTCTACAATCAGTTAGACTTCTGAACAGCTTTATTTAATTTGGACATTTTTTGGTTTGATGCTCTCATTGTATAGCTGACTCATACATATACCATCACTGGTCCAGCCATATGACTAATGATCCCAAATGGACGAGCCCCCATTCTGAAAACTGGAGAGACAAGCAATCCATCTTTGTTCTGGCCGTGAAATGAAAGGTGTTGTGTCGATCAGTCGGTCAACAATTGTGTCGTGCCTTTCGAGAATCATTCCAGTTCAGAGTTACATTCAGATGCATCAAGGGGCGCACAGAGCTGGAAAGAGGGGAGCGACAGATGTAACTGGGTGTTTGTAGTGTTGAGCGGGTGATAGGAACCAGACTCCAAAAGACTCTCCGCGATATTAGCTGTGAGAAGAGACGTCCGAGGAGCTGCTGCTGTTGCTGTTCGTCGTCTGTGCTCGCTTGATGTACAGGTTGAGGAGCTTCATCTGCAGAGGACAGCACATGAGTGAATTTTAACAAACAACTCGAGCAGAAATTGTGTTTGTTTGTGGTTTGAGAATGGGAAACAAATGATATTTCTTTTTTCTTTTGAGCATGTGAAGAACTTTGGGCTACAAGTGTTGTTATAATTGTGCTTTAGAAATACAGCTAACATTGACATTTATACATTTGATTGGGAAATTATTTTCTGTACTTGATTTAAACAGGTTTCGTTATTGCAGCTCATGTGAAGCGGCTGGGATGAAAATCACTGTACAGACACCGGTGAAACTCGGAAAATAGAATATCAAAAGTTAAAAAGTCTATTTACTTCTGTAATTCAACTACAACGTGAAACTACATAATAACACACATTTGTTGTTTATTTGTTGTAAAGTTGATAATAGGCTCACAGCATATGTTTCTTTGTATTGATTCTATATCATATATTGGTTTCTTATTTTATGTTGAATTACATAAATAAATGAACTTTTAACTGATTTGTTCCACTATTCCCCCCAACTTACAGTTCAATAAGGCTGTCAGAACAGGACAGCCGCCTGATAGAGGTGAGCCTGACCCGATAACCTCTGCCCACCAACCTTTATGCAACCACATAGATATAACTTGAATCCAAACCAGACCAAACAGGAATCCGCTTTGAGAGCAGGATGATCACTAGCCCCTTGAGCATCAGTCCAAGGTCTGGTGCTTTAAGCCTGGTTTCGGTGGACAGTGTCTAGTGCGGCTGTACCTTGCTACCCGTGAGCTGTGCCAGGTGGGGCTTGAGGTCTTCCCCAATTACAGAGTAGCTGGCCACCAGGCAGAACACGCTGGCCTTTCGGACGCTGCTTTCCGTGTTGTCATAGCCCTGTGAGACAGAAGCACAGCGGGTGATGTAGGGTGGGAGGGATAGAGCAGAGTACACACAAACATTTCCAGGGACAAATAAGGCTAATAATTCCCACTGTCCAAATATGCACATTGTCCAAATAAGCCCTTTTGGAGTTGCAGATAGTGGAGCATGTGACCCAATGTCCTCAAACACCTGTTAATTCACAGTTTTTTCCACTCAACTTTATCCCTTTATAGTAAATGACAATTCAAGTATGGTTACACAAGTATTGGATTGTTGCATTTTCTATTTCTTAAGACATATTTGAAAACCGATTTGGCCAAGTTAGAATAGAAATCTTGAATATGAATGCAAGGTATTTCAGTTTTTCTGTCAGGTGCCAATGCAACTCTACGGGGAAGTAGCAATTTTTGCCAAGTCATAATTTCATAGGGATTAGATTCACAAAGCTGGCATTATATTATCATGTTAAAAAGTCTACTGGCCAACATCATGCATATGTTTTGAATATTGTCACCACTTCTAGACATCTTTATTAGAAATATATTGGACCATAGTTGATATGTGCTGACAAAGAAGACATAGGACTTTGTGACAGTTTGTTTCATGTAAATTGTTCCTTTACTAAGACTAGACTTTTAACACTTACAAAGAAAGATTTTTAATAAAAGTGCATAAATGTCTGTATGGTGCCCGAAGACCAAATTTTACTTTTTGGATTAATGTAAGGAGATTTGGTTCATGTTAACAAACTGATACTGATCCAATAAATAGGATTTAAACCAGCCAAGTGCTGTTCCTGTGAGACCTAGGTCACATTGTAGCCAACACTGACACTAGTCCATCAGAAGTATGTAATGTAATCGCCAGGGTTTGACGGTCTGTCGGACATCTAACCCGGGATTTGAAAAAAATATTTACAGTATAACAAATCATCTTGTTTTGGTGGTTTATTTTTTAAACAGCGCTTCAATACCACTTTTCCAAACTAATTTGTGAGGTCTGTTTTATGTAACATTCCCAGGGTACAAATAAGGCAAAGGTTTCCAGCGTCCATATAAGCACATTGTCCAAATTAGCCCTTTTGGATCCGGTGATAACGTGTCGCAGCTTTCGGGGAAAAAGAAGCAAAATATTAACCCCTGCTGCAGCCTTGACAGTTATAGTCCGGCTTTGAAACATTGTATTTACAAAAAAATAAAAATAAAACAGAATACCAGCCATTTTAAATTGTGTTATTTTCATCAATTCCATTTTCAGCAACTTTGACCTGGAGTCCCAGCTATCTAGATCATTTTTGATGATTTTTGGATCACACTTTGAGAACCACTGATCTAACCTATTAAACTGTACAGTCGTTTCTTTTGCACTGTTCCTGCGCCTGTCTTTGTTTGAATCTGCGCTTGTAGCTTTTTGCATCTGTATCATTCACCCTGCACTTGTAAATAGTTAATGTTTGGTCTTATTGTTTTGCTGTTTGTGCACGAATATACCTTAATAATAACTATGTTTCCATAATGTGATAATTCAAAGCATCACAGTTGAAATCAATTATGAAACAATGAGTCCATAGAACAATGACATAAACCTGCGTCTAGAAACACATTTAATGAGCTCAAACAGCTTGGTTCACTATTGTTTCAGTTCTGAAGAGAAGAAAGTAGCTAGCGTAAATGGGACCACTTTTGTCGGCCATCTATTTTTGAGGTATTTTTAAACATTTGTATGTTTACCAGGATGTAGCAGTGCATATGGCAAGACACACCAGCGTCCACTATAGTGACTTAAGTGCAACTGTGACTTTAAAACTCCCACTCATGGAAGAAAACAACTATTGAATAGCTGTCCACTGTAGTGACCACTATGCATGAAAGGGTTAACATGCAATTATTTTGACAGCCCTGAAAAAAAAATATTGGATTTAATTGAGGAGTCCATGGTGATGTCCAGTAGCAGCAGATTAAAGGTGGGGTGTTAGGTTGGGGTTTTGGTTGAGGGCTGGGGTTACCTGCAGGAGTCCTGGAATGATGTCCGGAAGCAGCAGGATCAGAGGCTCTTTGCTGATGCGCTCAATGACCTTGGTCTGCATCTTGATGGCGGCCAGGTTGATGGGGTAGTCTGCAGTCTGCACGATGGGACACAGCACCTTGATGCACTGCTCCGGGTGAATGGAGCCGGCCAGGGTGACCGCCGCTTCCTCCGCCGCACGCACCACCTGCCACACACAGGGAAGCATGGAGGGGCCATGTCATTGGTTGGTGTTTATCTAATACTATTCAAGACTTAGAAGTTTTATTTATCCATCCATCCATCCATTTTCTTCCCCTTAATCCATTTCTGGGTGGGGAGGGGGGTGGCAGTCAGAGCTACACACAGTACAAAGAGCACCAGCCCCTCACTGATCCTCCTGCAGGTGGTGAGTCCACGGGAGACTTGATCTTTCAGCAAGGGCTTCAGGCATGGCGGGGTTAAGTGTCTAAGTATTTAATAAGACCTTATTGATTTGGTCTTAATAAAGATCCTTCTAAGCCTTACACAAAATTTACTTTTCACATTGAATGCATTTAATTACATTTAATTTTATGCTAAAAAACTTGTTTGCCTTGTGTATGAACTGTACTACAAATAAACTTGCCTTGCCTTAAAAAAAGTAATAAAGTACTCTTTTGAATGCGCTGGAAAATGGCTGCAAGTCTTAAGCAGCTCTGAAACAGTTGTTGTTTTGTGCTTTTGAATTTTTATTTTTATTGCTTTTTTCTACCTGAGATGTTAGTGCAGTACAGTGTTTATAGTTTTGCACTGGTCCAGACCAGAGCAGAGAGGATTCATGGTCCGAACCAAGCGGATCAGGTGAAAATCTACTGGAGTAAAGCTATTTTTTTCCAAATGCTAATGAAGCATTTAGCTTTTTATTTTGGACTAGAGCAGAGAAACTGGTCTGAACCAAGCGGCGTCTCCACCTTGTGACCTGTCTTGCTCCACCCAGCGGTTACTCCACCTATGCTGCTGTGACCCGTCCTGCTCTACCCAGAGGCTTTTCCACCTCTGCTACTACGATATAATGCCAGTTATCCCTACTGTCAGGTCTCTGACACCCTTGGCACGGACAAGCATGATGGGTAATACACATTGGGCCGTTCCCAACTCAAGCGTACCATCGTAGGCAGGTAGACTATGGATGGCGAAAGGGGTGAATCCGCAACCCCAGTCGATGTGAGACTATAAACTCCACGAAACAAGCAGCGATGGCTGGGAGATCTGTGTTCTACAGTGAGACCCGGCATGCATGAGAACAAGCCAGTCTCCGCAGATACGGTTCGGGGCGCCATCCATTCGGTAACGTCAATGACGCACGCCTGGACATTAGAAGCTGCCCCGGGTCAATCCATGTGGGCGGCTGATAGTGACCATGGCGTGGGACATCCTCCTGCCCCGGCTGTCGCCTCCGTGGTATGGGGCAAGGTTACTGTAATGGCGGAGGTTAAGAAAGCTGTCTCCCAAATACCATGATGATGGAAGGGCTGTTGCTGATTTGAACTATTTTTAACTTTTTAGAATGATCAATTTTTTAAAATGTTTTTATTGCTACTGGACACCTGAATTTCTTCTTCAGGGATCAATAAAGTTTCTATCTATTTATCTATCTATAAAGTGCACAACAATAATAACATTTTATAGACGCTAATCAACTATAATAATTTATCTTGCATTTTCTCTGCATACTTCAACACTCTCCAACTGCTTGTATCTGTGAATGATCGGAGAACCCTAGGACCAGTATACTTCTACCTCCTGGTGTCAGCAAATGCAATGTTCTCACCTGAGCAGCAGGGATCACTGTCCGTCCTAGTGGATGCACAGTATTATAATAATGGCGGTAACTTAGTTTGCTTGTTGTGCTTCCAAGAGACCAATGTTATTGTTGGATCTAAATATCATTGAAACACAGACATCGCGATGCACAAATAGCTCTTTTTAATGGCACCCAAAAGTTGCTTCACAACATTATTCACTCACTCAAACTCACAGTGGAGATACAAGGGCTAAAGGCATTCGGTCTGCACTCACACATATTTTAATGTTGGTCTTAAATGAGAACTTAAATCTGACATAACATTGAAGAGGAATGCTCTCCTCTAAAAGCCTTCTCCCCACACTTCCTCCCCTACATCGGGTCGCTCCACTACGCTTTCTTGGAGTAACCGCAGCCCTTGCCTTTACTGGGAGAGGGGGAAGAGGCTCTACGTCAGCTCCCAGCGTTAACGCAAGGGGCCACACAACGCTGTTGCAGTGATGGCACAGGCTTAAAAATGTAATAAGACCAAGATCAAAGACCAGTGGAAGACACTTAGAAGTCAAATCAAATTCATTCAAACACACAAAAAAAGTAAAACATTTTGTGTTTACTTTTCATAAACACAAAAATGAAACGTTTTGCAAAGGTTTTCTCTGATAGCAACATATTATGGGGGTGGCAGCGCCATGCTATGGGCCTGCTTTTCTTCAGAGTTGGTGGAAAGCTCAGATCAATCTTGGAAGAAAAGCTGTTAGAGTTAATTTATATGTGTATGAAAAGCCCAGTCAACGTCCAGGCCTATCCAATCCAGAAATAGTGGCAAGATCTAAACTACTGTTGACAAATTCTCTCATTCTGATGTAATGGAGCTTGAGCTGTTTTGAAAATCTGATAGATACATACTGCATGTGTAATTTTAGCACAGGAGGTGTCACAAAACATTGACTCATTATTGACTAAGGTGAATACTTCTGCCAACTTTTCAGTTGAAGTTTGTGAAAGTGACAAATGAGCGAAAGCAAAATATTTAAATTGTAAAGACATGTAAATGCGTCTCACCTCTTTGTGCGAGTCTTTGTGGGCCTCCAGCGTCTTCATGATGGTCAGCTCGGCGTAGTTCTTGAAGCGGCCTGGCTGGTTTTTCAAAATCTCTTTCAGCACACGTAGAGCCATGGCCCGAATAGTGTGCTGCCAAAAACATACAAGAAACGTTCACATGAAGCAGACAAGTTGTTTTATTTACACAATTCAGACTTCAAGATTAAAGATCAATGATATACAGTAGCATGTATACTCCAACAACATAATATACAATGTCATGCAACCGCTAGTATAACAGTTACCTTTATTTTAAGTCTGAAGAAAACTGTTGTGTGCACGACAGTGATTAATTCAGAGGACTACCATGGTCTTCGCATGGTTTTCAGTCCTAGGCTTATAATGTTAAGACATGTTTTGGCGTTAGACGTCCGCCTTTGTCAGAGAAGAGACCTGATTGAGTGACGTGTCTCTGATCAGACGTTGTTACAAGTCTGCCGCACTGTGGTCTCTGCAGAAGTTAATCTCATGTGTGAGTCAAGGTGATGAAAACAAGTGTATGAAGTGTGTGGTGATGGGTTTCACAGCCTTAAAACATACAGCTGCTACTTCAAGGATTTCACATATTGCAGGTTATTTTTAGAAAGAAACCTGTGTGATAAAAAAGGGACCACAGTCAAATTAATGGTGTAAAACAAGCAAACATAAAACCCAATAATTGAATATGTTTACAAAGCACAAGAATAGGGAGTATGGTCTATCCATCGTTGCTTATGACTGGTTGGACCGCTTTGATCCGGGTCTTGTGACACATTCAAAGCTGCTCAGAACTTACCCTTAACTTAACTTACCCACTAAAATAGCACTATAATAAATAGTAGACACGTCACACATTTGATTTTCACACAGGCTCAACTGCAGTAGCACAGAGAGAAGTTTAACTCACCATGATTCCAGCCTTTGCCTCACATAATAAAAACTAACCAAAATTATACACTTGTGCAGAGGAACTGGGTACTTCATTACAATGTTCAAAATAAGGGAGTGCCCTTGATTAGTCTAAATACATACAGTTTTCTTAAATGCATCTGCTGGCCTTGTCTCAGTAGTATCCGGTGTGTACAAATATATATACACTTTGTTTATGCTGACAAATTATTCCATCCAGTTACACCAAACAGATTTTTCACATCTCAATAGTCTTGAATTCAGTCTAATTTAAATTGGACTAAGAGAGATCTGTTTTTTTCGGAGTGCTTTGTAAACATGCTCATTCCTCCTCCTCTTCCCTGTCCCTTACATCTTTGTCCCCCAGCGTCTCCAGCAGCAGCAGCAGCACGGTCTTGAAGTGCTCGTCCCACACGGCCATGCTGTCCTCGCGAGTGAGCTTCAACAGCTCCACCAGTGCACATTTCCTCTCCTCGCACCGCTCATTGTGATTAGACAGCTCCTTCAGCAGATCTGCCACGATGTCCGAGTGTTCCTGACCGACTACACAGACCAGACCGTTTCAGACAGAGATGTGGCAAATACAAGTGTGACAAAGTAGGCCACTTCGTCCCATATTTTTCATATTTTTCATTCATTAATTTGTTTAACATAATGCTATTGGACACTTTCTAGCTCTACCAGGGTTTGTATTGTTTAATCTTTGTTGGTTATACCTAGATTAAATCATTTGCTTTAATATTTTATCTGTTATGAGATACAGTTTCATTAACACTCACTTTTTGAGTTACAGCTAAACTTATGAGTTATACCCACCTCAAATGGTTCATTTGCGTGCCCTTCGTCTGCCATTTTTGTTGGCTTTGGATCAGACCATGTTTGATGGGTGAGGTTTGGGATTTTAGGTTTTGTTTAAAAGGTTTTTTTGTTCTTTGTCTTCAATTATGTAGTGTTTAAAGATTTTTTTTTGTTTTAGTCTTTATTTATATACTGCCTTTTCACTGCAGATCTGAGTCTCAAAGCGGTTTACAATTGTCAATTTTGGGCATTTGTCTCTCACTCCACACAGAGATGGGAGCGGGGTCGCCAGTACAGGAGGCGCATGCCAGAACTATTGGACATATTTTTAGTGGTAGGGGAAACCGGAGTACCCGGAGGAAACCTACGCAGACACAGGGAGAACATGCAAACTCCACTCAGAAAGGCCCTGGTCCGACCGGGATTCGAACCCAGGACCTTCTTGCTGAGAGGCGAGAGTGCTATCCACTCAGCCACCGTGCCGCCCCCCGTGTTTAACATTACTTTGAGACAGGAGAGGAAACCTGCAAGAAAGGGGAAACCATTGTATTCTTCTCAGTTAAGTGTGTTAGAGACCACCCCTGTGAGTTATAGTAGGGACTATAGTGGGAGGATTTATGGGGGTTGAGAGCTGTGGAGTCAGTCTGAGTATTGAACATGTATTATTTAATTGCATAAAAAAGTTTCATGATTCTAAACAAACATTTACATTAGAGAATCTACTTAAAAATGTGTCGAATTATTATTAATTTCTTACACCATACGCAATTAATTGAACAGTTGTAAATAGAACAGTACATCTGTTTATTTTGAAGCAGTTTTTGTATATGTTTGTATATATTTTGCCACAATTGACCTTGTTTTTAGGAAAATTTCCTCGTCTGCTTCCTGCTTGACCCACCAGCTTCCCCACAACAAGCAAAGAGAGTAGAGTTTGAACACTGTGCTTCAATGATACAGTGGTGACCAAATACATTACAATGTATTTATTACTTTGGTATTTTTTTCAATTTGCCTTAAAGAGCGACTAAACACCTGTGCCCAGCCTTACTCCGCCCACATGAACATTTGAAAAGCTTCTTTTAAAAGGGCGTTGCCTGGAGGACCAAGGGACAATAAGGGGGGCTTAGAGCTGGGCGTGGTCTGGGCTGTGATTGACAGCTCACTTGTCTCACTAAAAAAAACAGACAGTTGTCATTGCTGCTTAAAACAATAGTTTACGGACCAGAAAGTCTCATTCCACCCTTGTTTACACACTAAGATAATTGTAAAGCTACACAGCTGAACCTAATCACACTCAATAATCTCAGAATTACTCATGTAATTTAATTTTAATCCACTAGATGGCGCCAGAACACTCCAAACTGCAGCTGGGGCGTGTGTGAGAGTTGAATGGGTTCACATCACTGGCTCTGACAGACTGACGTCACACAAAACAACTGATGTCATAGAGAACTTCAGAGTCAATGAGAGGCCAGAACCAAATTCAAATGTAGTACCACCAAAAAGGTTGAGAGGGCGCCACACAGACGTTTTTTGGCTCAAAAGTGATATTTTATCTAATTTGAACTAAAATGTCAAAAAAATGACCAGGATATGTAGAGAGCACTACAATAAACATATTTATGCAGTTTATGAGTTGAAAAAAGTTGATTTGGTGTTTAGTCGCTCTTTAAATAAGGAGCTTTATCAAAGTGCACTGGTTTCAGAAGTGAAAATCCCTGTTTCAAGCTAATATCCGGGCCCATCCCTGAGCACGCTTTCCCACGGAGCGCATATGAGGATGCACGCGCCTGGTTGCATTGTGGCTGCGCGCAGCCCCCAAAACCCCATTCATTGACTACTGCTGAAACAAGGACTGTGTTTGCAACATGTAGTGTGCACCAACGCGTCTTCAGGGTGCACACTTGGATGCGTTGCATGGTGACATTACTTCCCGCTACATGTGTCCTTTCACTCGCCTGTACTTGATATTTACAGTCTATGCTGTGTGCTGGCGTTTTCGTAGAGCGTTTTGGCAAACCCGACAATACTGAGCCAGTGGCTTAAATGTACCTGTCTGTGGGTCATGTGGGCGACAACTCATTTGCATGCACATTTATGTATATTCTATATTACCTTTCTGTGCACCTTTTATAAAGTATTATTTTCATTGGCAAGATATTTGTTAGTGCAAGGCTTCCCAAAGTGGGGACAGGGGAGGCCTCAGAGGGAAATGTTATTGAGAAAGGGAGGTGTAGAAGTCATTGAAAATGGCTGTGTTAGATATATACATATACTGTAAATAGCTAAGATGCTAACAGGAAAGTTCGACAGGTCTCAAAACAAAACATCTTTTGCAAATTAATTGTAAGTCATTCTCCTCACCTCAGAGCAGTTTAGTCGTGTCATTTAAATTAATTCAATTAAAAAACTTTTTTTTTTTATAAATCAATATTGATTAGGACTTTTGTTTATACCAAAATATTCAGAACCTTGGTGAGGAGTTTTATGATTACAAAAACGACCTATGATTCATGAGTAATTTCAGAATATAAAGAGACATACAGTACAGAGCTCTAGGCTTAATGTGAGCAAAGATTTCTAAATGAATGTTGCAATAATTTTTATCTCCACTGTTCAGTGAATGTCCAATTACCGTGAGCCCCTGACTCCAGCACAGAACTTCTGAACAGATACAAATGAGAAAAAACCTGTTTGCATGTTGAACTTCTATGCTTGATTGAAACATTTGCATAATCACAATTTTATCAAGTTTAAACCGAGAAGTGTAAGTCGACCCAAGACACAGGGAGAACATGCAAACTCAAAACAAGAACAGATCTCTTTGGTCACCATACAGTTTTCTTTTTTTAGCCAGTAGATTTTTAATATTGTGTTAAAGGTGCAGTGTGTAACTTTGAAGAGGGTGGAATGCACAACTGCTCGTGTCATAAATCTTGCATTTATTTAGTTTCATGTAAATAATTATAGCTCAATAATACTTTCCAAGTAAAGAAATGAAAAGCCAAATGGTTGCACTTTTACACAACTAATATTATGCATCATTCTAAACTATGAGGAGAAGGGGTGGCCATCATTTTTCCAAACACGCCTGACTTGCAAATATATAAGTTTTGAGTTGTCAATCCATTTATATCATGCTCACATGTTGAATGAAGTTGCTGAACATGTTTGTTTTGTAAAATTTTGTAAGTTACATTCAGTTGCTAAGGACAACAGTTTGTTGGCTTTTCGCTCAAAGTATTTAACAGTGTATTGGAAAAAACATATATGTTTTTAATAAGTGATGTAAAGTGAGTTTTGACCATGGTAAAAGCAGATTGAACAAGTCAGAGCAGACCGATTGTGAGGTTTAAATGCACTAGTGAGCCACAGTTCTAAACTCTGCATCATGCGTTTATACCATGCAACTGTACGGCTCCTCTTTGAGTTTGTATTTTTGGGAACAATGCATAATATTTCTCCTTGAAATTGGTGTCAGTTCACAACACACATTAGTAAAAAACACCACACAGGTTATTGATCAGGAGGCAATGACATGTTAATGAGTGGTCACTATGGGAGTGTCCTTGGAGCACAGGTGGGGTCTACTGGATGGCTGAGTGAGTGAATGGGGGATGGGCCACTTTACCGGGAGCATACGCCTTGGGAAGGGTCATCTTGTTCTCCGTGCTTTCCTGTCGGCGTGCTGGAGATGAGAGAAGGAGGGAGGGGTGAAAAGAGGAGGGGAGATGAAGGGGGGGGGAGGGGACAGACAATATGATGATGACGCGCAAGGAGCTTGTCGTGTATGGCAAATGAAAGTCCGTGAAAGCTAATATGGAGCGTTTTGAGCACTGCCTGGATACAAACATAAAAAGATTTTAGGTAAAATTCACATTGGGAGAAAGCTGTAGGTTGGATCTATTTTCTTCTAGGCTGTTCCAGACATGAATTTATTTGAAACATACAGCTCTTTGTTTCTGGATTCAACTTGTAAAGACTTTTTCCTGCTCCCATTCCTATTATGGCAAAGCATGGCTGGATGTAGCAGCTTACATTGATTTAGTGCTACAAATAGCAAATATGTCAGTCGTAGTATATTGACATGACTGATTTTCTTTACTGTATGTAGCAGTATATTCATCATTCCACTTCTCAGGTCTCTGCATTGACTTCATGTGGCTCAGAGAACAGACTTTAAACCAGCTCTGTTTGTGAAATCTCTCCATGGTCTCACACCATAGTGTACGTATGTGACATGTTAGTGCCATATCCTACTCTGAGGAGCACAGGGATAGGCGCCTAAAAATCGGGAACATTCTTCCTGAAAATATGAGACAGATTTCTACTCTAACAATGTTCTAATCCAGGTTAAAAACAGTTCTGATTAGCTGTGCATACAACTGAAGGATTGTATCTTCACTCTTTTTTCATAATTTTAATGTTATGTTAAGCACTTTGAGTTGCGTATGAACTGTGCTATATAAACTTGCATTGCCATTATCTATGGAACTTCAAATAAAAGTAAATCATGGTGAGAATCATGAACGGTGTAGCAATAATATAATACCGGCGCTGAACACGTATAACTGTTGTGAAGAACTCACAATCCCGGAATTGCTCCACGTCGTCGTCAAACACGGCCTCCTTCAGAGCGCTCTTGTCGTAGGAACTGATGGTGTCTCCGTAGCCATAAGGAGAAAAGTCTCGAGTGCGCGGCCCAGCAAAGGAGCGTGGGGATGGGGTGTTGAGCAGAGACGTCTTATTGTCCAGAGCCGTGCGGCCGCCCTCCACCACGTCCAGCCCCAGCCGAGAGTCCGAGCCCGGGGAGGAGGACACGCCTTCTCGCCCCACCTGAGACCACAGGGAACAAGATCAGGCTGGAAGAGAATAGATCATAAGATTCTGTTTATTTGCCAATTACAGTAAAACCACTTTGTAATACATATGCAAAAGTCCCCAGTGTGTACCAGAGAAGTAAATAAATAAAACAATCTAAAAAGTATATGATTAAAACAATCTAAAAAGTACAGGAATAAAACAAGCTAAATAACTACAGGAAACAATTGTCACCGTGAAATCGATTAAACAAAAACAGTGTCAATACAAGTGCAAGATCATTAAGGAACTTTCTTCAGAACGAAAACAGCTTGTGGAAAAAAAGCTGTTAGCAAAACGAGAAATTACTGACATGGCGCATTTGCACAGGACTAATGGTGCGTTCACACCGCCAACGCTGGAACGCTGACGCCTCGCGCACCAGACGCACATTCTCCAATTTTCAGATGCAGGGGTCTTCAGACCAGAAGTCCTAGCCTACGGTGGCACCCGGTGGACTTTGATGCTAACGAAGTTAAGCTAGCGGCTTTTTGTGTAAAGTGGCTGTGCAGCGTCTCTGTGTCCAGAGACCTTCCAGAGACTTTATATAACCGCATATGTGTTCACGGAGGTGCGGCATACGTTTATTCTATTATTAAACGGTACTTCCGTATCGGAGAACACGAGCACTATGTCCCCCATTGTCAACCCTGGTTTAGTCCTGGTGTAGCTCCTGTTTTGGCTGTTTACGAGTATGTTCAGTCTGCTCGCTCAGACCACTAATGTCCCCGTGACCACTTTGCGGCTCTCTGATTGGTCGCTGCACGAGCGCCCGGAGGAAACGCTCGACAATATTTATCTCCTGCGTGCGTCCATTTTCCACCCCTGCACCTCTGCCGCGCCTTTGCCGCGCAGTCCGTCCGTCTCTACCGCGCAGTCAGTGCGTGCATCCTGAGACGCATATGCAGTTCGACGAACGAACGCGCGTCACTGTGAGCAAAGACACGCTGCAAAGCTGCATATTGGAGAAGATCTGTACACAAGAAGCCGCTAGCATAGCTCTGTTAGCATTAGAGCCGGCCGGCTACTTCCGGTACTTCCGGAACGTCCTGACGCGAGCTGGAAGTATCGGAAGTAGGCGAACACACTCGAAGCAGTTGCATAAGGTCACAGGAGCATGACAAAGCATATTTTCACAAGCACAGAGTCCCCCATTGTCAACCCTGGTTTGAGTTCTGGTGAAGCCTGGTGTCCTGTTTTGGCTGTTTATGAGTATTTTCAGTCTGCTAGCTCAGTCCACTAATGTCCCCGTGACCACTTTGCTGCTCTTTGATTGGTTGTCGCACAAACGTCCCAAGGAAAGGATGAGCAGAATCCATCTCCTGTGGGCGTCGATTTTTCGCTCCTGCTCCTCCCTTTTCACTTTCCCGCCAAGTCCGTGCGTCTCTACTGAACAGTCCGTTCTGTCTGTGCGTTGCAACGGCCGAACGCGCGTCACCATAGACTTTGCATTGAAACCCGACGCAACGCATGATCCGGTCTGAAAGCACCATAAGACGTATGGAAGGATGTGTTGAGGCGACAGTAGCTCAGTTGGTAAAGCACAGCCTTCTGGCCTTTGAGCCAGAAGGTTGTGGGTTCGAGCCCACCTCAAGACTCCCGCTGTCGTTGTGTCCTTGGCAAGACACTTAACCTCTGGGAACACCAACCACCTGTGGGGCGGCTGCAACTGTAAAGTGCTAAACTGCTGTTGTGTCCTTAGGCAAGACACTTCACCCCCCATTGCCTAGAATGAGTCTGGTGTGTGTGTGAATGGTTGGTGGTAGTCGAAGGGGCCGATGGCACATACTGGTTGCCTCGCTTCTGTCGGTGTGCCCCAGGGCAGCTGTGGCTACAGTAGTAGTTTTTCACCACCGTGTTTGGAATGAATGAATGATGACACATGTTAAGCGTCTTTGAGTGTCCAAAAAAGCGCTATAAAAAAACCGATGCATTATTATTATTATTATTATTCACTGATCTGTTGATGAGGAATCAATGTTGTGAAGTCCTTCGAGACAACTGCTGTTGTGATTTAGGACTATAAAAAATTGAACTGAGTTTTGCAATTTTTTCCCTTAGGTTTTCTTTCCCTTTTGTGATCTGTTGTCTTTTGTGCTCAAAGGACAACAAACTATATGATTGCAACTAGTCTGCAGGGGACATGTGTGCACGTTTCACAAAGGGGCGGAACTAAGGAGTGTAAGTAGGATAGATAAATATGACTTCTTTTATAACATTTTAGCTCTCAACATTTCTTATGAACTATATATATATATATATATATATATATATATATTATATATATTAGGGCTGTCAAAATTATCGCGTTAACTCACGTTAAAGAGGCTATATGGAAGTTTCACCACCACTTGCCTCTATATGCCTAAAAACATTTCTTTATATGCTTGGAATTTGAGTGTTCGGGTCGAACACCCAGGGGCAGCGTAATGCGTAATGACGTCATGCGCGTTCACGCTAAGCTGTAGCAGCGCTAGGTGTAGCTGCCATTAGTGAAGCTGCAGAGCGAGAGGTGACTGTGGGAGGATGGATACAGAGATGAACAGCAAGAGACCGGCTTCAAGCAGCGCCGAAACTCCAGCAAAGACCCAAACTAAAGCAAAAAAACTGAGAATTATTTCTAGTGCGACCAAAAGGGCAAAGTTCGAGTCTGACCGCTGTAGGCAACAAACGAAGGTAAACCTTGGAGTTGCTTTTGAGAGGTGGAAAACTCTGACAGAATCTCTGGGCATGAGAAAAGACCCACAGTTGGCATCATTTCTGCTTGAAAGGTAAGACGTTATTTCTAAACACATGTGTTTATGCTTTCAAAGCAGCGGTGTCCGTGCATCGCAAGCTACTTAGAGAAATACTATTTTTTGTCTGCAACTAAGTTTTTATTTGTGGAAAGTGCTCAGAGCGAGACAATGATGGGTCCTTTTCAAAATACTATCTGTAATACACAGTTCTAGCAAGATCTCTGCGTCAAACTAACACACTAGCTAGCATTAGCTGGCAAGGCTAAGCGAACTGAGTTTGTTTACAAACAGGGCTTTTTTTTTTTTTTTAACCACCTACAGCTTTAACAAAGCTCTCGTTGTTTAGCTAAGAATGAGAGGGTTACGAACATGTTCCCTTTTAAATGTATGCACATTGCAATCGCAATAGCAAGGGCGTAGGTTTGCGTGGGGACCATGGGGACATGTCCCCACCAATATTTGGTGAGGACTAAAAAGTTCCCACCAAAATGACATGATGTCCCGTGACCCGGACGGTCCGGGACACATGTCTTCCGTTTGTGCACACATCGCGCCTCCTCCTTGCCTCCAGAGCAACAGCAGCAGCAGCAGCACGTGACCCGTTCCGTTCTCTGCAGTGATTGGCTGTCTTCTTCAGCGCCAAACGGAAGCACTGAGCGACTGTTTAATTTTTAAAAGTTAGCCAGCGTGAAGCAAGTGTTTTTTTTCGTTCCCTGAGCGTTGTAGCACGTGAGTAATCAGAGGAAAGTACTGTAGATCTATTACCATTCAAAGTACTTACGTTATTTCTAATCTGTCAGCGCACTGTTTAATGTTCCGAGGAGCTCACACGGCATACAGACACAGAACAGAACTGGCTCCAATAAAGAAACAGGTTGGTTGAAAGGCTGAAAAAATACTTATTGTGCTCTTACTATCCAAAATGTATAAGTGGGTGTGTTGTGTGAATCAGGATAAACTAGGGATGAAAATATTCCACGGATCCACGATTTACAACCTTTATCTGCTGATAATGTAATTTCTGTGAAATGTGTGACAGCGGGCACTTGCTGTTATTTGCTCTAAGCACATTCAAGCGATGCACTCGAATGTGCACGTCCTGGTGCAGCTGCTGCCGCTTTGTAATGACAGCCGCGGCGCTCAGTGAAAGCACAGCTCTAACATGGTACCGAGCTCGGACCATATGCAAACAGAACCATGTTGCAAGTGCGGGTCTCCCTCGTATCTCCCCCGTTTCTCCCCTGTGTCTCTGACATGTCTCTCCCCTGGCTCTTCCCAAAGCGCAACCAGCGCTCCCGAAATTAAAGCTCGGATACCTAAATTTTCCATTGCGTTAACGATGCATGCTGGTTGTGCGCAAAACACACCACAACAGGTCATTTAAGTTTTTATTTTGCATACTTGAGAGCCCTGTGAGTCATTACTTGCCTTTTTGGGTTGAGAATGGAATAAAAAAAAAGAAAATATAGAAAAATCTATTGCCAAGCTCTTGTTAACTCATTGTATTGAGAAATACTATGTAACTTTTGACATTGGCCAAGTTATATAAATGATTCTGCAGTTCATGTATATGAATGTCTGTTTTTGATTGTCTATACCTTCTTATATAATTTAGAAAAAATGCCACCTCCACAAAAAAAGATAAAAGATATCAGGAGCTTTTTTTAACAGTTGGAAAGTAAGTAAGAGAAAGCACAAGTAAAAGCAAATTATGAATTGTGATGATTAATCTTCTGTTAACATACATAGGAAACTCTGCTTCTCATTCAGTCTACAGCTGAGTTTAGTATAGAAGGCAACACACTATTGCAAATATAGTGTGTGATTACACAACAAATTCTGGGAGAGAAACTCTGGACCCCGTGTCAATGGGTGTAGACTCAGGTCGTAGTGAATGTCCCCACCAAGATTGGAACCAAACCTACACCATTGCGCAATAGTAACTAGTTAACTAGATGTAGAGCGTGTTGACTTTTCTAAACATGTGTTGTGTTATTGTAATTGCCTCATTGCCTCATTGCAATACTTGATATTGCCATCGTTAGCAGTAACAGTGGCTCTATTGTTCTAGTTTCGAGAGGCACACTATCAAAGGGACCACTCACGTCCACACACCATGGCCCATCAGCTAAGGTGTTGCTGGGGCCAAATCCCCCCAGATCCGCCCAGAATCTGATAGGTAAGTTTGCCAAATGCAACTTCTGTTTTCAGGTTACCACTCATCCACCGTCAACTAAAGTCTTTTGTCCTACAGGGAAGACTTTCATATCACAGGAGTTGAACCTCTGACAGCAAATAGGTTACAATCGTTGGAGAAAAGGTAAACATGCATGAATTTTATCATTTGATAAATACTGTTTTTTTGTAATGAATGTAAAATGTCTTTTATTGTGAAGCAGCAAATCAATTGAGCTGAATGATGACGCTTTAGATGGGGAGCAAGCCAATAATCTTGAAAACAGTGTGTAAGTTGTACGTTATTCTCTATGTAATTCAATGTGTATGTGTTGGTACATAATTTACATATTGGGCTGTTCTTTTTTTAATTCCAGAATAGAGTGTGAAGGGCCGTATGATTCAGATTATGTGTCACCAATCTCATTACGGTATGTAATTTTATTTTTATTTTCTTATCTCTTACTTTCACTCACTGATAGCATAAATTTCATTTGTCTTGTAAAATAGCGGTGCATCGCAGGATATGGTCGACAAACTTACTTGCATTGGGCAGGAAGAATCTATATTATAAATTGCTGACTGTGTTGAGGAATGCCAAAAAACAGATCTTGAAGAAAAGGCAGCAACCACCATTCCCATTTTCCCAAAACCATATCGAATGGTTGTTGAAAGTGACCTTGTAAACCAGCAAGCATGCATAGCATACAACAAAAACCTCTATAGATGGCAACTTTCCTCCAATTGCCTGTCAAAAATGCCACTACAGTGACCACACAGGCACAGAGTTTGATGGCCGTCCACCCCTTTCTGTAAAGTCACATGCACGAGGAACAGCTTTGAAATTGGAGTGGGTGAGTTTGCATGGTTTGCACATGTGTTTACCAGACTAAGTACAAAAATGGTATATGTGTGAAGTTACATACTTGTTAACACTTTCTTCCCCATATAGTTTTGCCCGCACGGCCATAAATTATGGAGTTGGAACAGCTAGCCATAACTGAAACATGGGATGCAAGGAGGAGATTTTATGTTGTCAACCAACATTCTGCTGTCGGGGAATAACTTCTCCAATATTTCCCTCTTATTCAAATTCATGAATATCCGCATAGTGGCTTCCTCAACATCTTATGCAGTCCAGGGTACCTACTGTCTAAAAACAATAAAGCAGTTATGGGAGGAGAAAAGGACTGCTATTATCAACAGATTAGAGTCCAAAGACAACGTTGTTGCCCTTGGTAAGTAAGCATATTAATTTCTAAGCCTGTGTATATGTATGCTTACATGCCTTTTGTGTTTATGTTTTAGCTGACGGGAGGATCTACTTTCCAGGTAATGCACAAAGCTCTGTGGCATTTCATTAATATCGGTTTGTTGTCATTGAAATTTTTGTTTTTTATTATTATTTCCCCCACAATCTATCTATTTTTTCAAAAAGGTCACTCTGCTATGTGCTGTACGTACACAACGATGGAGCTAGACACCATGGACATCGTAAGTGTTTAATTGTATTAACACAGGTCTGGTAAGACTTTTTTTAAATATAATTGTGATTCAATCACACAATTCGATTGTGACTCAATCAGGCTGGAATCGATTCTGGTCAAAAGGCTTTACTTGTATGGATTGAGGACATCTTTAACCATTGCTGGTATGCTTGTCAGCACACAAGCACCAGAGAGGAGTTTATGGTCTGTATGAACATTAGATATTTATAACGTCACTAGATAATGTAATTTTTCTCTTTGTATGGTGGCATGGTACAACTTTTGATAAACAACGTATTGTATACATTTAGGGTGTGCGGAGAGGTGTACTTCACCATATGCGCCTCTGGAGGATAAACAGGACAAAGAGCCCATTCCACGTGGTTCTTAACCGGAGGTGGCTGAAGGATATTGAGAAGTTGCTCACCTTTCGGTAAGTCATGTGGGTGACATCTTGTGGGAATGTACAGGAACTGCCTTTTAAACAATACAAAGTATATTATATTACACAGAGATCGAATTTATTTATATGTTTGACGTTACTATAATCTTTGTTCTGTAGGACAACTTCAAAGCTCGAATATTTCCAAAACCACATCCTGATGTACGCAGGGAAGCGTTTTGGATTTACTTATGGCGCCTATGAAGCTCGTACACTCCTCGCTGCATTAGACTACAACCACCATAACCATCGCCCAGTGCATGTGAACAGCAAAGCAATAAAGAAAAATATTATTTCTACTGATGTCTACAGAAAAAAGTCTCAGCGTTACACTGTGAAGGGGACTAAAGACTACAGCTCTATCCCAGACCAGCGCCTCAGCTCTGCTTGGGGGACTCTCAAAAAATTTAAGCAGATGACCCCAGGGCCATGGGTCCTCTGTCCTCGCATGTCTGAATGACCCGCCCAGTTATCCATATTATCACTCAGAATGGCGGGTACACATGCCTGTGTGAGAAGACAACAAAGCAGGTAGCCCCTCTGGGAATTCAAGTTTTAAAAGAATACACGCGTGACCGCGGGGCTACAGTCTATAAACTGAAGTCCGCCTCCCGGGCACACCCCGGGGGCAGCTGCGGCCGCTCTGGTTGTGAGCGGCTCACAGCCGCTCACAACAACACGGAGAACGGCGCTGCGGTAACGTGGTCATATAAGACCACACACGCCACAGAATTATTCTCTGCATGTTGCGTTCGGGTCTTTACAACCTGTGTGTAACCTGTGCATGCAAATACCGTGTCTCCTCCTAAAAACTAAGCTTAACTCGCTAAATTAAAGCTGGGGTACGTAAATTTTCCCCTTTCATTAACAACTAATTTTGGTTGTGCCCAAAATAAAAGCTTGTGAGCAAATCAAACAGATTTAAGTACATTTGGTATAAATGATAATGTGTCATTATATTTGATAATCTCATTCAACTTCAAATGGAGTGGATTTGAAATAGAATGTTAAAGACGCGATTAATCATGAGTTAACTCACCATTACTAAGGGATTAATCAACTAAAAAATGTTAATCGTTTGACAGCCCTAATATATATATATACTGTAGATACTACATATTAAATGAAGAGCCACAAGGTTCATAAATGATCACATCATAAATCAGTGATCCCCAACCCAAGGACCACGACCGGTCATTCGGTACCGGGTCGCAAGGATCAAATTAATAACTTGCATTATTAACGTTTTTTTTTTTTAAATGATTGGGTCTAAACAATCCTTTGTTTTTAAAAATTACCAGACTAACGTCATTCTATCATCGGCAGCGTTGGTAGGGCAACTGAAAATATTGTTAAACCGGTCCTTAGCAGTAAAAAGGGTGGGGACTGCTGTCATAGAGAACTGAATTAGGATATGTGCCCTATAAATATAAATATTTATGACATTTTTTCTTAAAACATGCTGTGTTGAAAACAAAGCAGGTGAAATTAGTTTTTGTGTGCTGTGTTCGTCTTACATGTCTGTTGCATGTGTATTGTATGTGAGTTGCATTTGTGTTGCATTCAGGTAGTATGTGTGTCTTATGTGTGTCAGACTCACAGCATCGTCCCTCTTGCCCTCGCGTCTCATTGGCTCGTTCAGGTCCTCTTGGCTGCGGTAGCTGAAGCTTTGAATGGCCTCCGTAACACCACGCAGAGAGCTGTAGATTTCCTCTGAGTTCATGTTTTCTGTGTCGTACTCCATCATGCTAACGCACACACACACACACACACAGACACAAAGACACGCGCACACATAGACACACACAAACAAGTCAGCGCACACAACTGGGTGGGATCAGCTTTTTGTACTCCATGCTTTTAATTTGTAGTAACTATGTATACCATCAGTTTTGTGGAGAACAGTGGAAAGTGAACGTTATAACTGTATGCTAAAAATGTTTTAATTTCAATCAGAAGTATAAGAAGTAAGTAAGTAATTATTATCTATATAGCACATTACACAGACGTTGTGAAGTATACAAATTCAATTTAATCTAAAGTCCACTATAGACATGCCCATTGCTACATTGAATGAATACTTTGAACATGTCCGTCAGAGACTTTCGCATAGGCTCTGCCTCTTTAGAAAGTAAGTAATGTTTATATACATAGCGCATTTCACAGACTAATTTCACACAAAGCGCTCTACGATGACTTGGGTACAATAATTGTCCGTCTGCAATTTTTGGGCATCATCAGAATTACTTGATATTGTAAAGGTGACATTTTGTGGAGAATTCTTATCCTTGTAGGTTTGAACCAGGGGAATAGAATCAGCAGGTCTTGAAGCTAGAGCTATAATGTATTTTGGATATAGCTTGGGTCAAGTCCTAGACCAAGACTATAGTATAAAGTGATCAAAATAGTGATCAAATCACACTCAAAACCTCAGCTATTTTAAATAACACTGTGATTAGTGTTGGTAAAAAAAAGATCAAATTGAAGTAGTATTAGTAGTGTTAGTATAGGAAAAGCATGCATAGAGGGGTTAAAGTGGGGAGTTAATACTAGTCATAAAAATATTCAGCAATTTATCTTGAAAAGAGTGACTTTATATATTGTTTTTTATATGTGATTTTGAAATAAAGATGAATACTAGAATACAGTCTGATGATTTTCCAATATGTGAACTTTATATAGTTCCAATATATAAAATTATAATCATATATTGTTAAAATCTTGAGTGGGGTGCATTTCCATTCCTAATAACACAAATGTGTGCTGAAGTTAAAAGCTGGGGTACCCAACTTTCAAACTACAATCCATCAGCCCTTACATGGCTCTATTCTATTCGTTTCCACCGCTCCTGTTTAATCAGTGACAGGTATATTTAATACCTTCTCTAGTATTCTAACTGACAGTAATTGGCCGGAATGCAGATGAAAGCCATGGTTATCAAGCTATTTCCCTGGATACAAGTTTGTAGATAGGGAGCTAGGATACGGCACCAGTTCCTAAAGTGTAATGGAAACGCAACCAGTAGAGTAGGGCCAAGCAGGGCTGGTGGAAACAGTGTCTTTGTAATTATGTATTTGTGGCCTCTGTCACATATTTAGATCAGCTTTTTCAGAGAAAAAAGTGAAAAAAGCTCGAAGCATAAAATAGAGACTATTGGAGCTCTTTCTTATGACTTTTCAAAAGATAGCATCTTGTCCAATATTATGACAGTGTGTTGGGGTCTGATAGATACCCCAGCTTTAAGTTGATAGAAGCCTCAACAGTGAAAAGAATATTGCACTGTTTAAATGTAAAAAGTTAATTTTTCTTCTTAGGTTTAAGTTCTTTTAATCAGACAAAAAAGTGTGAGAAAGCTAGTACCGCTTAATTACCTGACCTGTTTCGGCGATAGACTTCCGCCTTCGTCAGCAGTGACATGTGATGGTCTCTTATCAGCTGTTGTTGCCATATACAGCCAGGCACACAACACATGTCACATCTGACGAAGGTGGAAGTCTTCATGTCAGGTAATTAAGCTTTCTTTACTTTTTTTTAATCTTATTAAAAGAACCTTCTAAGCCTTAAATATTCCACTGTGTTTAGAGTTGCCTGGCGCCCCTTGCTGGTTACCTGGGAGAATAGGCTCTGCGCAGGACCCTGTGGGAGGGGGCGGCTGGGTGGGACTGAGACGGCGGAGGAAGAGGAGGAGGAGGGGGGGCAGGGGGGTGCTTTAGTCCGTCCACACCCCAACCCCATAAGCGGCTGTGGGGATAGGGCCAGGGGCATGGATGGATGGATGAATGAATGGGAGAGGGGAGAGATGGGACACAACAGATGACGAGCAAGTGGGCGACAGTATGGAAGGAGTGAGAGAAGACAAAAGAGCAGTCTGAGAGGATAGAGGAAAGCAGTTCGTATTAGCTCGAACTGTTGTGGCGTGTGTGTGTCTGTGTTTGCATGCGTGTCTGTGTATGCGTGTCACAAGCTCCTCAAAAACGCTTTTCGGAAGATGGAAGATAACGAGTTTCAGAGATAACATAAAAACAGCATTGGCCATGACCTTTTAGATAGAAGTTTCTGATATTAGCGTGGATGTATCTAAAAACTATTCCAGGCCTATTTTTTAAGAAGGAACCATGTGAAAAACGCAATTTGGTAACACTTTACATTACGGGCCGGTAAGTCCATGGTACTTACAGTGGTACTTCTAGGTACTTACAGTGGTACTTCTAGGTACTTACAGTGGTACTTACGGTGGTACTTACGGTGGTACTTACGGTGGTACTTACGGTGGTACTTACGGTGGTACTTACGGTGGTACTTACAGGGGTACTTACGGTGGTACTTACAGGGGTACTTACGGTGGTACTTACGGTGGTACTTACGGTGGTACTTACAGTGGTACTTACAGTGGTACTTACAGTGGTACTTACAGTGGTACTTACAGTGGTACTTCTAGGTACTTACGGTGGTACTTACAGTGGTACTTACAGTGGTACTTACGGTGGTACTTACGGTGGTACTTACGGTGGTACTTACGGTGGTACTTACAGGGGTACTTACGGTGGTACTTACGGTGGTACTTACGGTGGTACTTACGGTGGTACTTACGGTGGTACTTACGGTGGTACTTACGGTGGTACTTACGGTGGTACTTACGGTGGTACTTACAGGGGTAATTACGGTGGTACTTACGGTGGTACTTACGGTGGTACTTACAGTGGTACTTACAGTGGTACTTACAGTGGTACTTCTAGGTACTTCTAGGTACTTACAGTGGTACTTCTAGTGGTACTTCTAGGTACTTATTGTGGTACTTACAGTGGTACTTAGAGGTACTTATTGTGGTACTTACAGTGGTACTTCTAGGTACTTATTGTGATAATTCTAGATACAGCTGTAACTTAGTAATTCAAGGACACTACAGTATTATTCCTATGTAGTAAATGTGGTACTTCTACATACATACATACAGAGGTCATTTGTAGGATTGTTTGACTATAAAACATAAAACAACATTATGTAAAACAAACGCCTTTATTAATATGGAATAAGTAGCACAGAAAGGACAGTATAAATACATTTAATGCATATTTCAAAACAAGTTTCAAGGACAAGGGAAACACTGCAAGAACTAGGTACCCAACCCAAGTAACAAGAATTACACATTACCAGGTACTTACCAGCCAAGTACCAGGTACTTACCAGCAAGTACCAGGTACTTACCAGCAAGTACCAGGTACTTAACAGCAAGTACCAGGTACTTAACAGCAAGTACCAGGTACTTACCATAGGGACTGGCCCATAATAAGACAAAGGACTTTAACATAAGTACCAGTGATAACACCAGTAATTATACAGTAAGTACCAGGTACTTACCATAGGGACTGGCCCATAATAAGACAAAGGACTTTAACATAAGTACCAGTGATAACACCAGTAATTATATAGTAAGTACCAGGTACTTACCATAGGAACTGGCCCATAATAAGACAAAGGACTTACCCATAAGTACTAGTGATACCAGTAATTATATAGTATACCATGTACTTACCGGCAAGTACCAGGTACTTACCAGCAAGTACCAGGTACTTACCAGCAAGTACCAGGTACTTACCAGCAAGTACCAGGTACTTACCAGAAGTACCAGGTACTTACCAGCAAGTACCAGGTACTTAACAGCAAGTACCAGGTACTTACCAGCAAGTACCAGGTACTTGCTGGTAAGTACATGGTATACTATATAATTACTGGTATCACTAGTACTTATGGGTAAGTCCTTTGTCTTATTATGGGCCAGTTCCTATGGTAAGTACCTGGTACTTACTATATAATTACTGGTGTTATCACTGGTACTTATGTTAAAGTCCTTTGTCTTATTATGGGCCAGTCCCTATGGTAAGTACCTGGTACTTACTGTATAATTACTGGTGTTATCACTGGTACTTATGTTAAAGTCCTTTGTCTTATTATGGGCCAGTCCCTATGGTAAGTACCTGGTACTTGCTGGTAAGTACATGGTACTTGCTGGTAAGTACATGGTATACTATATAATTACTGGTATCACTAGTACTTATGGGTAAGTCCTTTGTCTTATTATGGGCCAGTTCCTATGGTAAGTACCTGGTACTTACTATATAATTACTGGTGTTATCACTGGTACTTATGTTAAAGTCCTTTGTCTTATTATGGGCCAGTCCCTATGGTAAGTACCTGGTACTTACTGTATAATTACTGGTGTTATCACTGGTACTTATGTTAAAGTCCTTTGTCTTATTATGGGCCAGTCCCTATGGTAAGTACCTGGTACTTGCTGTTAAGTACCTGGTACTTGCTGTTAAGTACCTGGTACTTGCTGGTAAGTACCTGGTACTTGCTGGTAAGTACCCTGGTACTTGGCTGGTAAGTACCTGGTAATGTGTAATTCTTGTTACTTGGGTTGGGTACCTAGTTCTTGCAGTGTTTCCCTTGTCCTTGAAACTTGTTTTGAAATATGCATTAAATGTATTTATACTGTCCTTTCTGTGCTACTTATTCCATATTAATAAAGACGTTTGTTTTACATAATGTTGTTTTATGTTTTATAGTCAAACAATCCTACAAATGACCTCTGTATGTATGTATGTAGAAGTACCACATTTACTACATAGGAATAATACTGTAGTGTCCTTGAATTACTAAGTTACAGCTGTATCTAGAATTATCACAATAAGTACCTAGAAGTACCACTGTAAGTACCACAATAAGTACCTCTAAGTACCACTGTAAGTACCTAGAAGTACCACTGTAAGTACCACAATAAGTACCTAGAAGTACCACTAGAAGTACCACTGTAAGTACCTAGAAGTACCTAGAAGTACCACTGTCAGTACCACTGTAAGTACCACTGTAAGTACCACCGTAAGTACCTAGAAGTACCACTGTAAGTACCACTGTAAGTACCACTGTAAGTACCACTGTAAGTACCTAGAAGTACCACTGTAAGTACCTAGAAGTACCACTGTAAGTACCACTGTAAGTACCACTGTAAGTACCACCGTAAGTACCACCGTAAGTACCACCGTAAGTACCACCGTAAGTACCCCTGTAAGTACCACCGTAAGTACCACCGTAAGTACCACCGTAAGTACCACTGTAAGTACCTAGAAGTACCACTGTAAGTACCTAGAAGTACCACTGTAAGTACCACTGTAAGTACCACTGTAAGTACCACTGTAAGTACCACCGTAAGTACCACCGTAAGTACCACCGTAAGTACCCCTGTAAGTACCACCGTAAGTACCACCGTAAGTACCACCGTAAGTACCACCGTAAGTACCACCGTAAGTACCACCGTAAGTACCACTGTAAGTACCTAGAAGTACCACTGTAAGTACCTAGAAGTACCACTGTAAGTACCATGGACTTACCGGCCCGTAATGTAAAGTGTTACCCGCAATTTTGCATTATGAAGCTTAAGCGCAAATTCAGACTGGAAAGACCTGCATGCCGCAGGTCTCACCTCACACACCTCTGCCAGCCTCGAGCCTCAGCCAATCGCACAGCTCGGCCAGCCCCCCTGCCAACCACTGAAGCTCTTGACATGCTAACTGCAGCTCAAGCTGCTGTTCGAGCAGCAGCTCATGCGCTCTTGCCGTTCGTTTGTCCTGTCTGTGATTTTTTTCCAGATCAGCCAAGTTCGTACCTTCGTCAGGTTAGGGTTAGGATTCCTGGCTTCGCTTCTGGTTCACGGGCCGCTGCTGGTTCGGCCATATCCCCAGTCGAGACGCTGCTCTCTCTACCTTCCGCTCCCTGTGTATTCTGCTGTCCGCATGGTTCTCTAACCTCCATTGCTGCCTGCGCTGCTCCTCCCACCGGAACACGCTGCCTGCCCGGCCGCTGCCTCGCTGCTCTGCGGCGGCTCACCGGCCTGTGCCGGATCTCATCACGGCTCAGCTTGTTTGACCAGCCCACGCTGGCGTTATGTGGTCAGTTTGTTTGTATGAATCGCATTGTTGTTGCATTATAATGGGTCCGTGATTGTCCCGTGCCGGCTTGATTCTTCAGGGTCTGGCCCTGCTTGGATCTGCTCTGATCTGCTCTCAGTACTTGATGGCGCTCTGCTCCTGAGCACATTTAAGCTCCACGTTACGGCTGTTCATGCTTCCTCTGCAAAGCAGCTCAAACTAAGCTGTGCTTGATGTCCTCGAGCCCCATTCGTTTGTATCGCCTCTGGTCACCACAGCAGTTGTCTCTGGGGCTTCATGTGATGTTGCACGTCAGTTGTGAAGAAGAACCCGTGACTTTAGTGCATCACTTTTATATTTGAGTGCTCCCAAAAAGTAGCGAATGTGCGTTTTTTATTTCTTCTATTATATATATCTTTTAGGCTCGCTACTGCTCAGTTGACACTGTCTATGTTCTCCCTGTCACTTTTCCGTAGTAAAAATATATATAAATTAGGGCCGGTACTTTAACGCGTTAATTAAGATTATTAATTACACAAAAATTAGTGAGTAAAAGAAATTGACACATTTTAATCGTTTTTTTTTTTTTTTCCCACAGCGGAACGTTTCTCGCTGGAGGAGTTTCTCTGTGTAGCCATGTTTCTGTAAATACTTGAAGGCTGGCGTCGCAGTACTTCCGCTGGTAGCGCGTCAGTGCCGCTAGCTTGTCAGTCTTATTGGAGAGGGACATTCCCGGTGATCACGGCAGGTCTGGATCTCTTCTGCCCTCGTACCTTCCATCACACGCGGCAGCCTCTGGGTATTCTCCGTAGAATCTCCGCAGGAATAGTGTGTTTGTTACCCCTGCAGGTACCTCCGCTCTCCGTAGCGCCAGCAGCCGGTCTCGGTTGTAAACAATGGGAGCGCATGGGCATATCTCCGGTCACAGGTATAATCCAAACGGTGGAAAAACACGGCGTGTCTCACTTCCTAAGTGGGCACTAACTTCATCCAGCTGTATTATAACAGCAGTTACAGAAAAAATAAAAATAAGTACGCTAAAAAGTAAGAAAAGTGGGAAGGAGAGGGGGAGCGATGTAACTTGCAGCTGGCTCCTACCCGCACATGCGTAATATGTATTACTTCTCACTGTTCTCAGGTCAAATTTTTATACGCGATTAAAATGCGATTAATTAATTGCAAAGACTGTAATTAATTAGATTATTTTTTTAATCAAGTCCCAACCCTAATATAAATAAATAAATAAATATATAAATAAATGAACAATAAATGGATGAAATTGTGCCTTCACCAGTCATGTTGACTAGTTCATTTAAAGGGACTATATACACCTGGCATGTCCAAACTCAGCCCCAGGGGCCAACTGCGGCCCTCTTTGTCATTTCATGTGACCCTCTGCCTTGCTAACCCTTAGTAGTCTCTGAGATCATAATCATAATGACACTCGTCATGAATCCAACTTCAGCTCCATGTGGACCTCGTTCCAACGCTCAGTACGTTGTTGACTTTATTGCACATACTGTAGTCGTGGTTTGATTGTGTGACTTCTGTTATCGTTGCTAATGTAGCTGGTGAGATGGTAAACGCGTGTCATTCATCCAATTTCAGCTCTCTAATGGGGCACTTGAGAAGTGCCCCAACTGAAGTGGCCTTCAGTTGAACACCCCTCGTGTACAATAAACATTCTGCAGGGTGTAAATGCTGCCGTGCCTTCCAACTATTCCCGTAGCAATGGGCCTGCTCTTCCTGCATGGAGCCTGTTCATCTCACAAAGCAGCCCGTGCCTGAGAAACATCTCTGTACGCCCCAAAGGCCTACGCTTAATTCACGCATGTTTCACTACAGAGTGTGAGGGTGACGTATCCCTGCATATTCTCTGTATCATACACGCATGCTCAATACAAAGTGGCGGGTGACACATCCCTGCATATTCTCTGCATTATACACGCATGCTCATTAAAAAGTGGCAGGTGACGCATCAGTTTTGTGGAGAACAGCAAAAAGTGAACGTTAGAACTGTATGCTAAAAATGTACAGTTTTGTGAATAGTCACTATAGGGAGGTCAGTATTCGGTCAGTCCACTTCTAATATATGTCTATGCTTCAGAGCAGCTCATTCAGCGTCCTCTCCATGTTAGCTTTTTAGTTACGCATGTTCTAATGGCAGTAGCAGTGGTTGATAGCTGCGCATGCTTTTGGGGGTGGGGGCCTGTGCTGAAGCCTTACCTTGGGGACAGTCCCCCGTGAGAGCAGTTGGTAGGAGAGGTGAGAGGGCTGGTCCTGCTGGGGGTGTGGCGTGGAGGTGTCCGGCCGATCGTATTACTCGGAGAGCCCTGGAGAGAGCAACAATAAAATCTGAATGCATTCCTTCTTATTTCTTGTGTTTTAAAGCATGTTTTAGAATAGTAAATGTAAAAACTGCAAAAAATAACATGGGGACGTTAACATAAAATACTGTACTTGCCGGTAGTAAGCTTGTTAAAAGAACCAAAAATCAGATACTCATTTGGCAAAAAAGAGTTAGATGGAATTTATTACATCGTTCAATTTTTGTGGTTTTAAAATTAGGTACCCCAGCTTAAGTAAAGTACAGCAATACCTTAAGAACTGTACTTTAATCATTTGTAATGTTCCTAAATCTCTTAAATTATTAGGTTTAGTCTCTTAAGGCTAAACCTAATAATTACTCTGCTCTAATAAGCCAGCCCTAAATGGAAGTAGTAGCAGTAGTAGTTGTAGTAATAGTAGCAAATATAGCAGTAGCAATAGCAGTTGAAGCAGTAGTAGCCAGTGACGTGTGGTCGCAAGGAGGCCCGGCCTCACCTGCGACCATGGAGAGAAAAAAATAATAAAATGGAAACAATAACTTGGTCATTACATCAAGTGATTGGATTATTTCAATGAAATGCCTCATTTCATATATTTTTATCATATTTGACGGAGTGATGTGAGGCGAGCTCCCTTGGTTGACGTAAATGCCTCAGTTCACAGTGGGAGAAGCCTATACCGTGCTATTGTTTTCTCTGTTTATCCACTTTAGCCACTCAGGCCAATGTTATACTTCCAATGACGATAGGAATGAAAAGGATGGGAAGATTGATTTAGGAAGTTGGATGCACCTGAGAGTCGGCTGCAGACAGCTAACGAAACACAAGAGGAGACACCCGTTTGTTTTTATTTTTTAAAGCTCAAGTGGACTTGTTTCTAAATGGAGGATTATATATCTAATCGAAAACTATTATTATCTGGACTTAAAAAATGAAACTGGTCTGAACGGAAGTATTCTGGGGAGTTATTTTATAAGGTAAGGTCAATAACACTGACCAAACAATGCGGACATGAAACCTGTTCGGCTGTAGCCAAACAAATTGAGAAAAAAATGCTCTGTAGTGCCTGTTGATATATATATATATACATCTGGTTGGCCTCACTAATCACCAACCTCACTGCACGTCACTGGTAGTAACAATAGCCGCAGTAGTAGTATTGTAGTGGTACAATAGTAGTAGGAGTCGTAGTAGTAGTATTAGTAATAGAATCAGGAGTAGTAGCAGTAGTAGCAACAGTCGAATACCACGGTACTGCTGGTGTTGCTGGAGTTCTTGAGGTGGTTGTGGAGCAGCTTGGTGGCGCCGTCCTGGAATGTCTTGGGCAGAGCTCCCAGAAGCATGGTGAACTCCGGAGTGTTGAGCTCAAACAGAGAGATGAGAACCACCTGGGCCGCCTGCAGGGGGCAGCACACCCTCCAGTGAGAAACAACACCACAACTAACTATATACTGAACCTATAAGTGTGAGAAGACATACATCTGTTAACATCTTTAACAAAGCTATGGGGCCGGTAAGTGTGAAATTTATCACTTCTGGGTTCAAATCTGTCACAACAATTTTAGTATAGTTGATGTCCATAAATAGTTACTTTCTACTTTATTTATCCTGCCATATATGTATATGATTTACACTAATTCTGTAATTTAGGGATACAGAAAAATGCACTGAATTAAATTAAATTATTGTAATGCACAGACGCAAAACTTGTTTCCAGAAATTGTGGCGATACACGTGCACTAGTAAGGAAGGCACGCAGGTAAAAAGGCTTTAAAAAGGTCCTACAATGCACTTTTTAGTTTTTAACAGTCCATCCTATGCACATGTGTGATAATAATTTGGGTGATACACCATACAACACTCAAAAAATTGGAGATTATAGCCATTTCTTGCATATGAGCGATGTTATGTAGCCTGGCCTTAGCCATCAGTAAACTCTGGTCATTTATTATTTCCCTACAGGGAAATACCAGGTCTGGGTCAGATCCTAGTGGCTGCGGTTAACTCGGTTGAATCCCCTCCGAGCATTCAGCGAGCGGGAGAGGTTGGTGTTGTAGGTAGGTGTTGGTGACGTCAAGAGTTTGTGCAGAATTTGCTGGTTGTAGTTTGGCAATGGCAGCGAACGCGATAGTAAAGGAAGCTCTTCAATCTGTTCTGATTCGGCTCCCAAATATCAAGAAATTGAAACCAGAGCCTAAGGAATTTTTAGCAAATGTCATTGCTGGCCAAGATGTTGTGGCTGTCTCCGTTAGTGGCAAAGGAGATGACTAGGCTAAATGCTAAAGGCCTCACTCACTCGGATGCATTACATATACGTCACGGTGAACTCCTATCCAATCGTTTCAATCTGCAAAGGAAATTAACCCCCCCCACCTGTTAACGGAGCTCAATGGCGCAAATCCAGACATGAGTACGATGGTGTGGTAGGACCAGGCTACCTCAGTTGCCTGCTGATCCCTGCTTCTCTCTGCTCCTCTGCCTCGCCCCGCCCGCGCAGTGAAGTGACGTAGCCTTTTATTGTGGGAATAACACAGATTTCCATATCCGTTTTTGAGTAAGTCAGTTTCGTGGTAACCGTAGGTCTGGAACAGTCTTCAGTAAACTCGCAGAAAAACAATCGTCGCGGATTTCAGAGGCAGATCCTTGTGAAAGAAGTCAACTCCAGGCCAAAGAGTGCATCACATATTTACACCCAAAAACACAAGTTGACATGAAACTAACACTTTTAAGGCCTATGTATAACAGGGCATCGCTGAGCTTGCGGTGGCCCTCGTGACGTCACCTGATGTCACATGACCAGCGCAAGAATCACCGCAAGGATCACCACAAGGATAATCGCAAGGATCACCGCAAGACCCTTGCGCTACCACCAGTGCATCCTCATGTGGTTGGGAGTGGGATTACAAAATTCTCTTTAAAACTACGCACGGGGGTACACTTGAGTATATGAAAAACTGTGGCTGCGTAATCAACCACGGGTCCAGCGAAAACCCCGACGCAAACAGTGATGCCAGAGTTTACACAGGCCTTTAGTCGCTAACAAAAGCAGAAAAACAGTATAGCTCCATGTGGTGGACGAGAGACCATAGCATAGACCATGCTATGGTCTCTCTCTTCTCCCACTGGGTTTTAGAGTTTTTCCTTGCCAATGCAGGAGTATCTGTTAGACTGTCAGTGGTCTAACAAGAAGGACTGTGATGATGATCCAGGAAACTCTACATTCTACTACATTTATGGACATTTATCAACATTGATGGACATTTATCTCTCCCTATGGACCAATATCTATATGTTCTATATTTTTTGTGTCTTAACTGTTAATTCTCTGATCTGTGTTGGCGATTTCAATGGTTCTGTTAAATCCTCTGAGATGACTTCTGTTGTGATTTAGGGCAAGAATAAAGAATAAAGTATATTGAATTGAATTGAATGGTAAACAATATCCATAACATAGCAAAGCAAAGTTTGAGAAGCGGTTAGGCATGTCAACACATGAGCGCACAGAGAAGTGACAGTTAATTTAGAACCCGGAAGTGACGTGTGTCATCACTGAACAGCCCTATATTAAAAGTAGGAGGTTTGACTTTCCCCACACTCAGGATTCATTTTCTATTTGGAGATTAAGCATTCAAACCATATAATATGGGTATGGATCATTTAAAACCACCCAGATGTCACCCTAGATACTGTAACTTGATTAGTCAGCATGCGGACATGAGTGTAACCTTTAGCAGATTACGCTTTTAGCATGTTACTGTTGCCAAAGCCAAGACCCTCCTAAAATCAAATGATACAGTATCCTAGTATGACTTTGTATACATTTTATCAAGGCTAAACTTTCAAAAGCCCTTCAAAAATTATTGCCTTGAAAGCAAAAACCGCAAGTTTAAATTTGCTTGAGACCATCTAATAATTTGAACCTTCTTTTAAGCAGCAGTTTTATAGTTTATAGTAAACTATAAAACCAAAATGTTTACTTGTGTACACCTTAGCCCAGTGTACTCAGAGAACAAAAAAGAAATCTTTCACATGCTTTTTTTCCACTTGAGTTTGATATTATTTATTTATTCAACAAATGAGTACATTCATACATATTAAGTTAATTAGATTAAGAACCCCTATAATACGCTTGTGTACCCCTGTGAGTCTGCATACCCATGGTTGGGAACCACTGGTTTACAAAAAGATACATTTTAGTCCACACATCCTGCAGGAAAGAGTTTTCAAAGTGCAGTTCAAATTCTCCAAAACATGATGTTTCCCATGTAGGCATGCAAGTGAGTATATTCTGGTAAAAGTCATTCATTTAGGACATCCCAGAGTTATAAACTCTACTATTTCCCGGATACAGCCATACATACTAAATCAGAATGGCCACATCATCATGCATTTGCTTTAGAGTGTTAGAGTGAGGAAAAATAGCACACAGTAGTTTGAAAAGTCAATCCACACAAGCCTTTCTCCCTTCTCTTTGCATGTCCAGTTAGCGTAAGCATTATTAGCAGGTGAGTGAGCTGCGCCACTTCCGGTCGGCGTGGCGGTGGGGGTTAGAAAGGCGGGGTTTAGCGAGCTTCTTGCACTGTGATTGGTCGATCGGGTCTACCTGCTTACACCTCTCCTCCATGTTGCACTCGGCAGACAGCAAGGCCGCCGCGCTCGACCTGCCCGCTAGCTCCTCGCACACCCAGCTTTGGAGGGTCTGGCAAGAATGGATGTCATAGCGTTTCAAAATAAATTCATAACCAGCCAGAGGATTAGGAGGTTAGAAAATCGCTATAGAACCAAAATAATAAATTGAAAAAAAAAGCATTAGAAGCTTGAGTTTCCCCCACAAAAGAAGGCAGCTGCTTGGTTCATCCTTATATGGCTCATGTCTGAATTTACAAAGACAATATCAAAATAATAGGACAGGATCATAAACAGCGCCGTTTTTTTAAGCCCAAAATGGTGACATGGTGACACTAGGAGCCCGAGCGAGTTGAAGCAAAAATATTTCCGTGAGCACTAGCCCATTGAGCTAGCGGGTTAGTGTTGTCCATCTATAGACAAGCCAATTGAATAATTGTTATAAGTTATGCACGGACTCATATAGAGACTGTGCACAACTCATAACTTTTCAATTTGTTTGTGTTTCAAAAGAAACATGTACAAAACTGTCAATCAACTCACATCGGGAATTTGGTCACAGAAAAATTACGAGACTACCAACATACTATACACATGGGCAGGGTGGGAGAAGTGTCTTGCCCAAGGACACAACATCTACTCCGTATGTTTACTCCTACCACCGCACTGCACTTCCACTTAAAACTACAACAATCCAAACCTGACACACAGCCGAAAGCAGCAGCAGCGCTACAAAATCCTCACTTGTCGGCCACATCTGTAGATACACATTTGTTTTGAATATCAAGTCCACAGACCTATTATTTGAAGACGTATGGATGTTATTATTCTAGTAGGTATCTGAATAGTTTGTCCTATAGAGTTTTGTCAATATTAGTACATTTTAAAAAGATTGTAAATTTCTGTGCATTTGTGTGGACACTGTGCTATTAAGGTATTTATATTTATTTCAATCATAATATATGCTTCAGCCCATGTTAATTTTGTTGGCCGTATGTGGCCTCTGGAGACTGTCAAAAACTACTGTAGAATTACCCTGTCCAGGTTTGCAGGAAAAAGCTGTAAATAGATTTTTATTATAAACCTAGAGATCCAGGGGAGGAGCACAGGGGGTAAAACAAACACAGAACATGTGTATTTGTGTTTCAAATAGGGATGTAAATCGGTGACCGTTTAACCGGTGGTTGACCGTCACTGCGTTAACCGGTCAAAGCTGTCGGTTAAAAAAGAGAAAAAGGGGAGAGGGGAGGTCTCTTAATAGGACTTATTAAGAGACCTGCACATTTGCTCCACTTTAAACGGACCAGGATTCGTTTGGAACTCTGATCCGAACCTTTTATGCAGGTCTGAATACACACACCTTGAATCCTGGTCCGGACCAAAGAACCGAACCGAGACCCACTTTTTTAGGTGGTCTCGGTCCGCTTCCAAACGAATTCTGGTCCAAGTCGAATCAGGTCTGAATACATCCGGTGTCGATCCGATACAACTCCAAGATATGTGCGCATTTTTTCGGCTTAACAAGCCGCAGACAGAAACTGAGGAATTAGCCACGCGTCCCAGCTGCTAACTATGCTGCTAACTATGCTGCTAACGCTACACAACAACAATGAGCCGTGGGCAGACCTGGAGCATCGAGGAGACGCTGTTCAACAGGCTTATGGAGTTACAACTGTTCACAGTATACAGTGATGTTAATGGCAGCATCTTCAAATCATTTGCATTATTAAAAGCCTCACGTGTTTGTCTCACGTCTCAAAGAGAAATATTCTGTATCATGTAGTGAATTGTGTTCTTTGGTTCATACCTGATCCTCCGTCATCTGTTTATGCCGTTGTTATTATAGATCCATGGTTTATCCACAATGCTGCTGTCAGTAAGTTGTGGAACAGAGTTATTATAATAGATCCATGTGTGGGACAGGGCACGTAGCGCACAGTCTCCTTCGGCTTTCTCCTCACGCATTCGCCGACGCTGTTCCAATATTTAAAACAACGCGTTTCGCCTTTGTCTAATGAGCTGCTGTTGATGTTGACGGTGGTTTTGCTCTAAAAAGAGCAAACATAGGCAGAGCAGACATGCTGCACATACGATCTCAATGTTTTCCTCCGGTTCCGGGTCTATCCTCTGTGAGCTCTAGCTGTCCAATAGGAGCACCGATTATCACACGTGTCCGTATGTTTGTATAAAAAAGTTCACTTGCAAAAAGTACAATCTGAATACGAACCGGAGCAAAAGAAAAAAGTTTGGTCCGCTTTTGATTCGGATCAAGCAAGCGGAGCAAAGGACTTTTCAGGTCTGAATACACCCTAAGATTCAACCTTTGTAGCGCTTTACCAATAGTTGAGAGCAAAGGCAAGATGTTTTATGCCACTTGTGTCACCACCCTATACTCTACTTTACACAAAGCTAGTACTAAAGTGTTCTAACTAACAGTGATTGGCCAGAATGCTGCTGGAAGCTATGTTACCAAGGAATTTCCAAGATGTGTTTTTTAAAATCAGTACTCGTCCTTCATGCAGTTTTATTTTACCGTGTGCACAGTTTGCCTTACCTTCCTGACGTCGGAGCTCTTGGGCTCTGTGGTCCAGGTGATGATGCGGGACACGGCCAGGCGGGTCTCGCTAGAGTTCCCGAAGTCTGTTGGGTCCATCTGCCGCGCCAGGGACTCAATGTATTTCAAAATGGCCACCTTCACCTGCACACAGAACAAATGTAATTATTGAAAAAAGACAGAGGTTTTCCATGATAACTAAATTGCGTGAGATGTGCAAGTTGTTTTTTCCATTTACGCTAATATCAGAAACTCCTGTCCAAAAGCTATCTTGAAGCTGGTGAACCAAACCTTATTTTTACATCGAATAATGCATTTTGTCTGTTCCGAAAGAAACACATAATTCCATGCGGTCTTCATCTTATTAGAAAACATGTTATCTTTTGCATGGATGGAAGAACCCTGTGAGACACTATTTGACACTTTGGGCTGGAGTGAGAGAAGTCCTCTCTTTTTAACTTTTCTGTCTGAAAAATCTAATCTGAAGATGTGACAGCGGCCATAAATATCTGCATGTGAAAACTAATAGAATCTCGGTAAAAGCTTTTATTTGTGGATTGAAAGTTAGGTATCCCAGCTTTATCATTGGTACACTATGACACCACCAATTATGTTATAATCAACAAATACTAACTTGATTACCTTTAGGTTTGGCGTTTGAGTCTGATCCACAATAAACCGCATGAGAATGTTGAACTGCTGATCAAAAGGAAAGGATTCTCTGGAAAAGACAAGACATTATTTCTGTTTAGTTAAAAGCAAGGAAGGTGAAGAAGGCTTCACAAACTCGGTGCTCTTCAAAGACAGGGCAATCTAAGCAGATACAGGATGTTTTTTAAATAAAAAATGAACTACCAAGTACTTTTATACATTTTTTCACTTCAATAGAGTGCCTCAGACTCATTTTTTTACCTCTCAATTACCACACTACGTTCGAGTCAAAAACATCCAGTATCACACAATTAATGTTATTTCAATTTTCGCTTCATGACATTGACCAGCTCAAAAGGCCTCTCTGCTCCGGAGACACACTCTTCTAAGACATTTAGATCAAGATTGAGATTTCAAATAGGATAGGATGGGATAGATAGACTTTATTGATCAGATGTCCAGTAGCAGCAAAAACACATCCTTCCACACAAACAAAACAAATTAATGGATTATTCTAAAAAGCTAAAAATAGTAATGATAAAATGCAATGGCACTTCAGGTCACAGCAGCAGGAGTAGCCGCTGGGTGGAGCAGGACAGGTCACAGCAGCAGAGGTGGACAATCTGTTGGGTGGAGCAGGACAGGTCACAGCAGCAGAGGTGGAGTAGACGCTGGGTGGACAGGACAGGTCACAGCAGCAGAGGTACCATTTTCTCTGCTCTAGTCCAAAGTAAAATGCTGAATGCTTCATTAGGTTTTTTTCAAGAAGTTAGCATTCCTCCAGTGGATTTTCGGCTGATCTGCTTGGTTCTACCCACGAATCCTCTTTTCTCCGGTCTGGACCAGTGCAAAACACTGACAGCTCAGGTAGAAAAAAATCAAGAAAAAAAACAATTGTAAAAAACAAAACAACTGTTTCAGAGCTATTCTGGACTTGCTGCCGTTTCCAGCGCATTCAAAAGTAAATGTTCTAAATGTACATTTTAAAAGTACTAAATGTACAAAATATTCAATAATGTGTGTTATGTGTGTCTAATGTGTGCTATAAATGATCAACATAGACGTTTTCACATGGGCTCGACTTTGTTTGTTTGTACGTTTTCACTCTCTTAAAGTGAGTAGCGTTGAGTTGCTAAAGCGGGCTACGCTAAGGCCCATCATCAGACATAAATGCCCAGACACACCTGGACTAACTTGCAACCAGGTCTATTTACTGTATGTCTGATTTTTCTTCATTCTACTAATTAAGAGCAGGGCCAGGGCGTCTCCTGCCCTGGCCCTTGTCAAGGCCTCATGCAAACAATATGCAGGACATAATTAATTATATGTATTTAAAAACGCAGACTTACGGTTTGACGTGTAGAGAAAGTGGAATGAAAACAACTGCTTCTGATAAACTGGGCAGGTGTTTGCTCCAGAAACGTCAGCTCTATTCATATGTAAATGAGAGATGTCTGCCACACCCCTTCCTCACTTAAGTTTTAGCCCAGACCCTCATGCTGCTAACATGTATAGTAGTATGATCATCACAGTGAACATTTGAACCTTCAGAGCTATTGACTTATTACTTCAATATTCTTGCATTTATAATATACAGGTTTATACTTTAATTGTGTAGTTTGTTATACTAGATATATAGATTTTATTGTATTTTAGGTATCAAGTAAAGGTGCTTTCACACCGAACTCAACTTCAACTTCAAAAGCCTCAGGTTTGCATTGAAAATGAATGGCGTTAGGTGACGCCAAGAGGCCCGGCGCATCAATTGAAGCTTTTGACGCGCGTAACGCTCCAGTCTCTTTCGACGCTGAAGTTGAGAAAAGCTGAGCTGTTCGAGCTTGATGCCGGGCTTCAACCAATCAGGAGACTAGAACCAGCAGCATGCAGCAGCAGCAGATTTTTTATTGTCATTATTGTTATTAGTAATATTATTTGTATGAATAGTGACGTTCTTAATAAGTAACGCAATCAATGTACACATGCTGTGAAGTTAAAGTAATGTATTTATTATAAGAACAAGCTGACGCTGAGTCTGGCTCAGACACAGCAGACTGATAGACAGGCGCTCCTCCGTGGGAATCGATGCATGCTCCGGGGGGGAGCGAAGCTAGCTCCAGGCGGGAGGGAGGCAGAAGCGAGGCGGGAGCGAGGCTACGAGTTTTGTAAATAAAAGAATTGAATTGAAAAAAAATTGGAATTTAATTGAATTGAGGCGGGAGCGAGGCGGGGTGCGGGTACTCGTCCTGGGCGAGTGACATGTGGAAGTACAGCTGAAAGCGAAACTCATCCGTACGCAGCTCCTGGAGTAAACTCAGCAAACACTGCGCCTCTCAAGTCTGTGGTGAACCCAGGACATGTTATGTAGAAACCCTACGACAACGTTGTTTGGCTTTATATAACAAATAAAGGCTCGCTGCTTTCTGGAAATCCACCGTTGTGCCTGGACTAACAGCAACAGAGAAGCTCCTCCCACCCGGCGTCAGGCGCGTCAGGAGCTTCAAGCACCAAGGGGCATTCACACCGGACCCAGCGTCAAACAACGCACGTCAAAAGCGTCTTGATGCTTTTGGTGTGAAAGCACCTTTATGCTGTACAAAATGGTACAGCATTGTGTGCATTCCTACTAACTTGTGATGCAAAACTGAGATGTCCCCACTGTGTAACCATTGTTTACTGTATTCCAGATTTTCCATCAACGTGACAAACCTGGTGATGTCTAGCGCCTTCTGCACTTTGGCCTGCACTGAGCCCAGGAGATCGGCCCCCATCTTCTTTAGTAACTGGGTGAGCAGCACAAACAGCCAGTCCTGCAAGTCCTCCCTGTGCACCATGATGAAGTCCACCAAGGTCTCCAAGAACATACTGAAGACCTACGAGCACACAGCCTTAAGATATCACAAGGTCACATTGTAAACCTAGGTATTTGTGTGCTGAAATAGGACTTACTCTCTGCAGTTAAATCCACACCAAGGCAGAGCATGCGGTAAAAGACAATGTTAGTTCAATGATAAAAGACCACGGCAAATACAGTCATGCTGCTGGTTTGAACATGTGAGTGGTGGGCGGCCGTACCTTGCTGTGGGGGTCCGCAAACATTCTGGTGAAGATCTCGCACAGCCTCTTCAGCTCCACTCGGCTGTAAGGAAGCAACATCACAAGGGACTGAGAACAATTATACATTATTTTCAGCCATTAAAATGAGAACAAGATTATATGCTTTGTCTTTTCATGTTTTAGAATAGTATCATAAGTATCGTAAGTAGAAATAAGTAAGAAGAATCAAAAATGCTAACTACTTGTAATTCCGTTTCCAGATCTTAGCACTCTAGAACTTGGTTTCTAAAATGTGTGTTTTGGGGCTGACTTTGTATGGATGGTACACATTGATTAAGTGTTTTTGCGTTAAGGCCTGAATATGACAAGTGCGGAGAAGACCTAAATCCCACCTGAGTATCCGTTGGCTCTTGAGCAGGTTCTGCAGCCCCAGCAGGCCCTCTTTCCTCTCGGACCAGTTGGAGCTGGCACAGTGATTGAGGACCTCGGCCACGTCCTCTGTCTGCCGCAGGTAGTGGGGGATGCCTCCATTGCGAGAGCTGTAGGAGCGCTCGGAGCAGGCACTTGAAGCGTCACTGTTAGCATCGTCGTCGGAGTACATGCCTGGGGACTCGTACCTCCTCCTCATGGGCTTCCGCTGTGGGACAAACAGATTTTGAAATGATTAAGAATATTTGTTATATATAAGCTTTTTGAGGAGGGAGGAGAGATGACGGATAGCTAATAAGGCTGAGATAAACCATTGTAGCATGTGATTACAGCTGCCCCTTCTTAGGAAAGTGAACAGTTGAAGTTTATATACACCTCAACAAAAATACCTTTCATCTGGATTTTTCACAATTCATGATAAATAATTAGTAATGTAGTGTATCAAACTGCTGTGGCGCAAAGAAGACAAAGCTTTCGATAAAATGGTTCTCTTATCTTATTTATTGGTCTATGTTCCCACTATCACCTCTGGTCATGAACTTTGGGGAATGACTGAAAGGACAAGATCGGATACAAGCGGTCAAAATGTATTTCTTTTGCAGAGAAGCTGGGTGCTCCTTTAGAGATTGGGTAAGGAGGTCAGTCACCCAAGAGAAACTCAGAGTAGAGCAGGTGCTTCTTCACGTCCAGAGGAGCAAGTTAAGGTTGCTCTGGCATTTCCGAATGCCTTCTGGACGCCAGGTGTAGGAGTATTCGTCAGAACCCTGACCTAAACCCCATTGAACATTTGTGGGCAGAGAAGGAAAAGCAGGTACAGGCTAGCCCCACAAACTTAACTCTTACATAAGCTCTGTCAGGAGCAGTGGGCCAGATTTCCACCAATCAACTGTAAGAAGCTTGTGGAAGACTCCCCTAAACGTTTTGCCTTTACACTGTTTCACTTGTGCATGATTTCAGCTCATCTTCATTACCTCACAACATTAATTATTGTCAGTGATGGACCCTCAATGGTCCGTGTAGTTTTCTTTCAATGTTTTTTTTTGTGGATTTTTCTTTTTTCATTTTGATGAGGAAAAGGAAAAACCAAAAATTGGCTTGATATTTGATTTTTTGTTTCGATGCAAAAAATGAACAAACAAAATAGATATTAAAGCTGCACTAACTGACTTTATTTTCGTATTCATTACGAAAATGCTATCCATGTCCATGTAGTGCATTGGGATATACGTCCTTTTGAAGAATAATTAGCGCAGATTTGTGCTGGCGTGACATTATATTTTAGATCGAGTTTTGATGAAACAAGGAAGAGAATGTGTTTCGGGTCGCAGATTGTGACCAATCACAACGGACCACTGGCCCCCACTTTCGTGAGAAATCTACAGGTCCGTTAGCATAGACGGCTGAGTTAGCACAACAAGCCGAGGAGCTAACCTGAAACTTTCTCGTCTTCGTCACCGGTTACTGCTTACACAGCGAAACAGCCATCCAAAAGAAAGTCCCATTCCTCCGCGCTTCCCGGTTCTATCGTTTTATGGTCACGCCATCCACGTGCAAATCCATATTCATGTATTATCCATATTGGGAGACACTAGCTCCGTCCCAACAGTGAGTGTGTGTGGGGGGCAATAGCTTCGTGGGTGCGGGGAGGGGAGCAGAAAGAGTCAACCATGCCAGCGAGTCCGCGGCTTCAAAATCCCAAAGTCAGTTAGTGCAGCTTTAAATTCAATCCGTGTAAATCCGTGTACCCTTCGATCATTAGTTATTCCGTTTCAAAACAAAATCAGAAAAACAAATTTTCCATTCGTTTATTGTTATTTTCCTTTTCTAAATTAAATTGGAAAATCAAAACATTCTAAATGAAATATTCACCCATTTCTTTGTTATGCAGTGGAAACAAACACTACTAAAACAACTTCCATTATTTTGTTTGATATGCTACCGGAAATGATGAGTGGTGAGAGACGGAAACAACTGCAAGCTGCACTCAACTCAACTCAACTACACAACAACAACTCGGGCTGTTGTTGAGCTCGCCCCCAGGCCCGAGCTCCAGGGGCAAAATGCTTACAGCACCTGGTATTCCCAGGCGGTCTCCCATCCTAGTACTATGGGGAAAACTTTGTGGGTGCTGCTCTCAAACAGAGAGAGCCGGCTTTCTCCATTCATTCTGGATTACACACGCACTCGGTAAGTCTCCTCTGATAAACACAATGTTTTTATGCTCGTTCTTTATGTTTCACTTCATAAATCTCTCATATTGTGCGTAGATCGTTCACACACGTCTGTAGTTTAAATCTCGAGTGTGTAGTGCGCTGTTTATGATTGTTTACCTCCGTGTCATATGTTTGTTGCTGCTGCTGCTGCTCGTAGATCTCTCTGTTTGGATCAATATTGTAAAGAAAACACTTTCTCTGCGTTGTCAAACAATCTGTATTCACTGTATTCTACTGTATACAGTAATGCAGTTTGTTTACGTCTGGTTGTAGTAGTATTTCCAGCGCTAGCTAATTATCATTAGCTAATTATTGTTGATGTGTGTACTATCTATATGTATTTCACATTTCTATAGTTCAGCAACACATTGAGTTGAAAATGAATTATATGCAGTTAGTTTACAACAATGTATTAGTGTTTTACCAGTTCATATTTTCCTTCTATAACTGTACTTACTGTATCCCAGAGCCTCATGCTGCTAATGTCCAGATGTAAACATACAACTGTATATGTCTTCTCTAGATTATACAGGATTCATGCTTCTTTATAATGCTAAATTTAATTATTTTATTCTTTATTTTACTAATTCCTGCTGCAGGACCCTTCGGAGGAGGCGAGGAAGATCAGGGACGACCCGTCCATGAGGGAGTGCGGTGCTCCTCTGAGGGAGGAGGTGGTGAGGGAGAACGCCCTCACTCTGGTGCGAGTGAGAGGAGGTGATGCCTCAGACAAGGCTGAAGTGCTGGGGGAGTACATCGCTCACAGCAGGCAGTAAGACCAGCACAGTGCCTGCTGTCACTCTAATGTCACTGCTGTCTGAGGAGGCCATAGAGAAGGTTGTGCAGCGGATCTTGGAAAAGCAGCAGCAGCCTCCAGCAAATAAACCCCACACAAAGAAATGTCTGTCTTGTGGCCAGCCAAAATCCAAATATGAGGGCGATGGCAGCTCCATCCACGAGTTTTACCAGCAGGGTCCTACCAGGTATTTCTATTGCTCCACCAAGGTCTATAACACCTATCGCACAGAGGGTTTGACCAACTCCAGGATGCCATTCCGAGACTTTATGGACACTGAGTTCTACCAGAGAGAGCTGGAGGCCACGCAGCAGAGAGTGAATGAGCGGCAGGAGAAGAAAAGGAAGAGTGATGAGTCTCCTGCCACTGGGAGAAAGTGCGGGTTCTGCAAACTGCAGCTGAAGCAGGGACCAAACAGTCCTCACATTCATACACAATTCCCTGGTCTGTCAGGAAAATACATCTACTGCCCTGCCAAAGTATTCTCCCTGTACAAGGACCAGGGGATGGAGACGCAGATGTTCCAGCAGTCTCCTTTTTATGACCGGGAGAGGGAAAGGTGGCGTGTAAATAAATTAGCTATCTGCTGTCTATTGGTGCTATTGTATATAGTTACTATATTATACCTGTCTGTTCATAAATATTTATAAATATTCTAATTATTATGTAAATATATACTTAATATTGATTATATCTAATTATATAATTTCATTTGTAAAGTCTGCATCTACAGTTCTGTATAGTCAGCTCTCAGCCATCACAGTCACAGGGCTCATCACACAAATACTAGTTAGATAAAGATAGCATGTTGTTGTTTTTCTTCTAAGTGTATTTCTTAAATTTGTAAATATCTCTTTTTTCATCTGTTCACAATACATATATTATAATGTCATACATTATTGAAGTCTTTCTTTTTATTGATCATATTTCAGGGCAAACAGTAGTATTTGACAAAACAATCTGTATAGAAAATAGAGTTTCAGTTCAGTGCCAATCAACGATATGCCCACTATACGCGGCTGGCCCCCGCGGCCCGACCTTGCCTAGCTTCCGAGATTAGACGAGATCGGGCATTCTCAAGGTGGTATGGCCGTAAGCACGGGGGTATGGAGCAGCGTGCCTCCTGACCCTGCTGCTGCGGTCCTCTCCTCCCCCAGAATGAGCGCTCGGGCCTGGGTCTGAGCGGGAGCAAAGCCCTCCCCGGTGATAGCCCAGAACCGGAGGTGTGCGTGGGTGAAAACCCCGTGTCTCTAGCACCCCTGGTTCGTTTTTGACAAGCCCTGGAAGCCGAGGTTCTCCTCCCCCAAAATGAGCGCTCTTGGGCGGATGGTAGACGCACGGTCCCCCGGTGGTTTCCAAGGGCCATAACTTTCTGGTCCTTTATCCCCCGCGCGTCAAATTCACACCGCGGGTACCCCGGGACCAGGGGAGTCCCACCCCCGCGTCTGTAGCCCCCCTTCCGCGATTTTGAAACGGAATAACTAATGTGTACCCTTCGATCATTAGTTATTCCGTTTCAAAATAAAATCAGAAAAACCAATTTTCCATTTGTTTATTGTTATTTTCCTTTTCTAAATCAAATTGGAAAATCAAATCCTTTATGCTTCAATATCAATGTGTTTGTTTTGGCTCTAGTTGTTTAAAATTCTCAAAAGAATTATGGCATTACTATTATTTCGTTTTATTATTATTTGCGACACCGGAAGAGAGAAGAGACCTCGCGGAAGGGGGGCTACAGACGCGGGGGTGGGACTCCCCTGGTCCCGGGGTACCCGCGGTGTGAATTTGACGCGCGGGGGATAAAGGACCAGAAAGTTATGGCCCTTGGAAACCACCGGGGGACCGTGCGTCTACCATCCGCCCAAGAGCGCTCATTTTGGGGGAGGAGAACCTCGGCTTCCAGGGCTTGTCAAAAACGAACCAGGGGTGCTAGAGACACGGGGTTTTTACCCACGCACACCTCCGGTTCTGGGCTATCACCGGGGAGGGCTTTGCTCCCGCTCAGACCCAGGCCTGAGCGCTCATTCTGGGGGAGGAGAGGACCGCAGCAGCAGGGTCAGGAGGCACGCTGCTCCATACCCCCGTGCTTACGGCCATACCACCTTGAGAATGCCCGATCTCGTCTGATCTCGGAAGCTAGGCAAGGTCGGGCCGCGGGGGCCAGCCGCGTATAGTGGGCATATCGTTGATTGGCACTGAACTCTATTTTCTATACAGATTGTTTTGTCAAATACTACTGTGTGCCCTGAAATATGATCAATAAAAAGCAAGACTTCAATAATGTATGACATTATAATATATTTATTGTGAACAGATGAAAAAAGAGATATTTACAAATTTAAGAAATACACTTAGAAGAAAAACAACAACATGCTATCTTTATCTTCTTAAACTAGTATTTGTGTGATGAGCCCTGTGACTGTGACGGCTGAGAGCTGACTATACAGAACTGTAGATGCAGACTTTACAAATGAAATTATATAATTAGATATAATCAATATTAAGTATATATTTACATAATAATTAGAATATTTATAAACATTTATGAACAGACAGGTATAATATAGTAACTATATACAATAGCACCAATAGACAGCAGATAGCTAATTTATTTACACGCCACCTTTCCCTCTCCCGGTCATAAAAAGGAGACTGCTGGAACATCTGCGTCTCCATCCCCTGGTCCTTGTACAGGGAGAATACTTTGGCAGGGCAGTAGATGTATTTTCCTGACAGACCAGGGAATTGTGTATGAATGTGAGGACTGTTTGGTCCCTGCTTCAGCTGCAGTTTGCAGAACCCGCACTTTCTCCCAGTGGCAGGAGACTCATCTCATAAAACACTAATACATTGTCGTAAACTAACTGCATATAATTCATTTTCAACTCAATGTGTTGCTGAACTATAGAAATGTGAAATACATATAGATAGTACACACATCAACAATAATTAGCTAATAATAATTAGCTAGCGCTGGAAATACTACTACAACCAGACGTAAACAAACTGCATTACTGTATACAGTAGAATACAGATTGTTTGACAACGCAGAGAAAGGTTTTTCTTTACAATATTGATCCAAACAGAGAGATCTACGAGCAGCAGCAACAAACATATGACACGGAGGTAAACAATCATAAACAGCGCACTACACACTCGAGATTTAAACTACAGACGTGTGTGAACGATCTACGCACAATATGAGAGATTTATGGAGTGAAACATAAAGAACGAGCACAAAAACATTGTGTTTATCAGAGGAGACTTACCGAGTGCGTGTGTAATCCAGAATGAATGGAGAAAGCCGGCTCTCTCTGTTTTAGAGCAGCACCCACAAAGTTTTCCCCAAAGTACTTGGATGGGAGACCGCCTGGGAATACCAGGTGCTGTAAGCATTTTGCCCCTGGAGCTCGGGCCTGGGGGCGAGCTCAACAACGCGAGTTGTTGTCGTGTAGTTGAGTTGAGTTGAGTGCAGCTTGCAGTAATACATCCATGCTCTCACCACTCATCATTTCCGGTAGCATATCAAACAAAATAATGGAAGTTGTTTTAGTAGTGTTTGTTTCCTCTGCATAGTAATGAAATGGGTGAATATTTCATTTAGAATGTTTTGATTTTCCAATTTAATTTAGAAAATGGAAATACAATAAAACAACCACGTAATTTGTTTTTCTGATTTTGTTTTGAAACTGAATAACTAATGATCGAAGGGTACACGGATTGTACACGGATTCAATCCCCAAAATGTTGCGTTTTTTTCATTTTCTGCATCGAAACAAAAAATTGAATATCCAGCCAATTTTTCGTTTTTCCTTTTCTTAATCAAAATGAAAAATAAAGTCATTTTTAGATATTTAATTTTCGATTTTAATTTGAAAAAACCATTGAATGAAAAATACACGGACCCTCAATGCCTGCAAAGCCTTCACTGCTGGCCTAAACATGATTATATATATATATATATATATATATATATATACATATATATGTATATATATGTATATATGTATATATATTATACACACATATACACATATACATATATATATATACATATATACATTATATATTATATATACATATATATATAGGGACCGGGGGAGCCGGGGGGGGGCCAGGACCAGGAGAGCCAGGATTTTTGCCCAGTTTGTCTATAAGCTACCCTGCGGAGCTAGGCAATGCAGAAGACACGGCGCCGCGTCCTGCCTCACCACCGGTAAGAAAACAACATTAAAACTCCATCCATTACTTATATTGTAGTTGGACTTTCCCACATTAATGTTAAAAACTGGGTCCTGAACGTTCGTGTTGCACTCGTTCATGTTCTCAGATACTGTCAGAGAGGAAAGTTACACATTGTGCACGAGTGCGTCATGCGTGTGTGTACAAACTACAGCGATGTGCCTCCTGTCATTATAACACAAGAGGCACACTGTGTGTGGGGGGGGGGGGGATGTCTGTGGCACAAAAATGTTGGAGATCGCTGGGTTCATCACTGCAGGCGCAGGTCTGAAATGTACACACCGCCAATGATAATTGTGACATTTCACATTATAAAAGTAACGTATTGATCCACCTGACCGAACACTCATATTTGGATTAAATATCAGAAATGTTGTGAAAATTGGAATAAAAAGTATTATTATGGAGGTGTATGTAAAGTTTAGATTTCAACTGTAAGTATTCCCAAATATTAGGATGGGAGCTTGAAGTGAATTTGATACATAGAAGTTTTTTTCTTGCCTTTACAGTACATACAGCTTGGGCAAACGGATGAATGACTGTGAGATATCACTTAAGAAACAATACAAAAAAGTAAAATTGTATTACAGTGGCCCCTCCTTTATTGCGAGGGTTTCATTCTAAAAATAACCTGCAATAAGAGAAATCCTTGAAGTAGCAGCTGCATGTTTTAAGGCTGTACAACCCCTCACCACACACTTTGTACACTTTTTTTAACCACCCAAACTTATGATTGCTGCTGCAGCTGTCAAAAGTCATGTATATACAATAAAATAAAGCTGCAGAGGAAAAGATAAGATACGATAAGATAAGATAGACTTTATTGATCTCACACAGGAGAAATTTACCTGTCACATCTGATATGGATAGACTCACTCAAGATGTGTGCAAACATGTTAAATACTCCGCTACTGGGAAGGAGCAGGACTGATGGCTACAGGAAGTCCTCTAAACTTTCTTCTGACTTTAAATAAAGGTAACTTTCATGCTGTTCTAGCGGTTATATGATGTTGTTGGAGTATACAGACGGCGCATGAGAAGAACACTGTAAAGTACACAAAAATACACACACAAAACAATCTGCTAAACAGCGAGGCCATAAAAAGTTAACCGCATTATAGCAAGGGACCACTGTAACACATAATTGTTCGCTGATCGCCCTACAATTAGTGTGGTTGAATCAGCAATAATTCTTTTCACACTGAAATCCAAAACACATGCCGGGCAGAAAATATGGATCATTCCACTCGTTAGTAAGTGATTCAACGAGCCAATCAAGCAAACTAAAGCCGACTACTGTTTTAATAAGCAGTGCACTAGTCCATCATAAGTTCCATATGAAGCACAGGAAACCAAGGGAGGGTCACATATGCAGACAGTTCAGAAAAAGCAAACCAGAACATTCAGAACACAAAGATCTGATGTGTGTGTTAAACATGTGATGGATGGATGTGTGCACACGTAAAAAAGCCAAACTACCTTATTCCTGGAGTCTCCTAACAGCTGAAAGGGCGACGAGAGAGCAGAAGGAGAAAGGCAGGGTTTAACAGGAGATTGATCAGTTTGAGGTGGACTTTCAACAATACTACTGTCATCTCAAAACGTACATAATAACGTATATTACTGAACAAAAAATTACAATGAGGCTGAATTTAGAAGCCATAACATAGGCGTACCAGCTTGTTGGAAACAACCAGGGCTGTCTCCTTTAGTCGTTTGGCCAAATAATCAGTCAATGATTTATGACTCAACCACATGTTTCCTTAGTCGACTGTTATTTCAATTAAGAATGTATGTGAAATCTGCGAACTTGAAAGATATGGTTGAAAATAGTACTTTCAAGTAACCCCTATAATATCCCTATGTACCCCTAAGTGTACTGACTGTACACCGGTTGGGAAACACTAGACTAATCGATCGGAGGTTTTCAGCCCAAAAAGCACAATTAAAATTCTGCAAAATGTGTTTATATTTGTTCAAAACTTATCAAGTTTCAGAATTAATTATTAATTCAAAGTCAGGTTGGTAACACTTTATAATAATGGTACATGAGTTGAATAATTTTCATGAACTCATGCATGAATTAATGCATGATTTCATGATACATTCATGCTTTACTAGATCATGAATTCTCAGAGACAAATATGATTACATGTTGGTTTATCGATGACTTCATCCCTGAATTAATGGTTGAACTACTGTAATGAATTTACTGTACATGAAAATCTTGAAGATTCATCCTGATCATGAGGATCACATAAGAATACGATGAATTTACTGAAACAGCAATGAACAATAAAATGATCAACCCATCATGATCATGAGGATCATGCATGAACATCAGGACTCATAGTGGAAATGTACTTGCAAAATACAATTTTTTTTTACTTTTTTGGACAAAATCTACGGCAATCATTGACTTGTCCATTGCTAATCCTTAATACATCAGGATTTCATTATGATTGTGTCCCCTCAACTAAAGTGAAGCAATGCTATTGCTATTCAATATTCATGTATATTCCTGAACACCTATATCCATATCCTTCTATTCGCAAATTATTATCTTATTATTATTCTTATCTTCAGATTGTTACTTGAATGTTATTTGTATTGTGAAATTCTATGCAAGCTTCTGTGACATCGCAATTTCCTTTGTGGATCAATAAAGTCTGTCTAAGTCTAAGTCCAAGCCATGAAATCATGCATTAATTCATGCATGAATTCATGAAAGTCATGCATGAGCTCATGTACCATTATTATAAAGTGATACAGTGCCTTGCAAAAGTATTCACTTCCTTTTTTTTTATTGTGAAGCAAACAACAAATAGGACATAATAACAGAAAAGGTCAATGTGCATAACTATTCACCCTCCTAAAGTCAATACTTTGTAGAGCCACCTTTTGCGGCAATCACAGCTCCAAGTCGCTTTGGATAAGTCTCTATGAGTTTGCCACATCTTACCACTGGGATGTTTGCCCATTCCTCCTTGCAAAACTACTCCAGCTCCTTCAAGTGCAAGGTTTGCGCTTGTGAACAGCAATCTTTAAGTCTGACCACAGATTTTCTATTGGATTGAGGTCTGGGCTTTGACTAGGCCATTCCAACACGTTTACATGTTTCCCCTTGAACCACTGAAGTGTTGCTTTAGCAGTGTGTTTGGGGTCATTGTCCTGCCTGAAGGTGAACCTCCGTCCTTGCCTCAAATCACGCACAGAGTGGTACAGGTTTTGCTCAAGAATATCCCTGTATTTAGCACCATCCATCTTTCCCTCAACTCTGACCAGTTTCCTAGTCCCGGCTGCTGAAAACATCACCACAGCATGATGCTGCCGCCCCTATGTTTCACTGTGGGGATGGTGTTCTTTGGGTGATGTGATGTGTTAGGTTTGCGCCAGACATAGCGTTTTCCTTGATGGCCGAAAAGTTCAATTTTAGTCTCATCAGATCAAAGCACCTTCCTCCATACATTTTGGGAGTCTCCCACATGCCTTTTCGCAAACTCAAAACATTGTTATTGTTTATTGCTGAAAGTAATGGATTTCTTCTGGCCACTCTGCCAAAAAGCCCACCTCTATGGAGCGTACGGTTTATTGTCGTCCTATGTACAGATACTCCAGTCTCTGCTGTGGAACTCTGCAGCTCCTCCAGGGTTACCTTAGGTCTCTGTGCTGCCTCTCTGATTAATGCCCTCCTTGCCGGTCCGTGAGTTTTGGTGGGCAGCCGTCTCTTGGCAGGTTTGCTGTTGTGCCATGTTTTTTTCCATTTGGTTATGATAGATTTGATGGGATCATCAAAGATTTGGATATTTTTTTATAACCTAACCTAACTGACTTGTACTTCTCAACAACACTTTTCCAGTACTTGTTAGGAGAGTTCCTTGGTCTTCATGGCAGTGTTTGGTTAGTGGTGCCTCTTGCTCAGCCTCTGAAGCCTTTCAAAAAAGGTGTGTATATGTACTGACAGATCATGTGACACTTAGATTGCACACAGGTGGACATCATTTCACTATTTATGTGACTTCTGAAGGTAATTGGTTGGACCAGAGCTTTTTATGGGCTTCAGAACAAAGGGGGTGAATACATATGCACATGCCAATTTCCAGTTTTTTATTTCTGAAAAATAGTTTTGTATATATTTGTCTCAATTCACTTCACCAACTTAGACTATTGTTTTCTGATCCATCACATGAAATTCAGATTAAAAAAACATTGAACTAAAGGCTGTAATGTAACAAAATAGATAAAAAGACAAGGGGGGTGAATACTTTTGCAAGACACTGTCCCTTATCTTCGAACGGGTAATTCACGGAACTATTAAGACCTGTATGTAAAGTACTGCTATTGCTCAGATATTGAAGAAGTCGCATGAAATAATACCAGTGGGGAAAAAGACACAAAAATAGTTTAGTTCATGGTCCATGTAACTTTAAGTCAGTGCTTCTCAAATAGTGGGGCCCACCACCATGGGGGTCACATGTGACCCTGGGAAACATTTTTATTTTTCTGCCGTACTTGAATAAAGTGTAATTGCACTACAGTAGTTGACAGTGGCGCTCTCGTTGTCAGAGTTACAGTCTATGTAAGGGGTATTAGGATAGAGCCGTTCTTCTCAAATAGTGGGGTGCGCCCTCCTCACTATTTAGGATGGGCGCACATGACAGGAGGAAACTTGCTGTTTTTTGCTATTCTACCTTCATTGCATCGTTCTGACCCCCGCAGCATGCCTGAAGAACTGAAACTAAAACTCACTAAATTAAAGCTGGGGTACCCACATTTTCTTTTGCAATAATAATGCATGTTGGTTGTGCACAAACATAAAGTGTTGTGACCCAATCAAGCAGAACCGACCACAACAGGCCGTCTTGTTTTTTGTTGGTTTTTTGCATACTTAAGAAAGTGCCATGTGAGTCTTTTTCGGCTGAGAGTGGATTTTATGAGCCAATGAGAGGAGAGGGGTGCAAAATGTTTTTATCTGGCCTGGAAGAAAATAATTGAGAAACACTGCTTTAAAGTAAGTTTTTGGTAATTATCTGGACAGTCCAATTTGTCTTGTCATCAAACAAAAGCACTACAGTGGTAATCATGGAGCATACTGACCAGAGCGTCGGCGACCGCAGCCTCCACCTCCGTGCCCGTGTTCAGGACCCGCATGGCGTTCACCGAGGCAGAGATTCGGGCCTGGTTGATAAAGCCATACCGGTCTGGAACAAGACCAAGAAATTCACACACAGTGGAGTCAAAAGCAGACTTACCTGCAGCTTAGGGACCAAGACTTTTACAGAGCTTAGAAAGTATGTCTTACATCTAGGGCACATTCAAACTGGGTGGTCTGGTTCATTTTAACTGGGCCAGCTTTGATTCACTTTAACTGAACCAGATCTTGTTCACCTTAACTGAACTGAAAAAGGTCTAGTTCATTTTGACTGGTTTGCTTTAAAAGATTTATAATGAGTTAGGTGACTAGTGGTTACCCAATATTTACAGTCTATGGTGGTTTCGCAACCACAAATAAAGACTTTCTGGTCCAAGTGAACCAGACTTGGTCCAAGCTTATAAACCACCCACTGTTCTTGAGTTAAAAACACTTAATTCAGAATAACACATTTGATTTAAAAGAGTTCAATCACTGCAAGTAAAATAATCATTATGTGTATGTCTATTTGTAAGTTTTACGTTAGGTAAAAACTTGACCCATCCTTGATTAGGAGCAGTGGTTGCCGTTGTAACAGGAGACTCATCTCCAGATGCTGATGCTCTTGGTCAGTACTAGAGCTGGAGGACATCACCTATTGTACATAATCTTAGTGGTAATGGAAACCTGAGCACCCAGAGGAAACCCACTCAAGCAAAATATAAAATCAGCTAATTTGGGGCAAATTTCTCCCAATTTTGATGATTCCACCCACAAGTTCACCTTCGAGACAAACATTAAATATAAAAATATAAGGGCTGTCAAAATAATCACGTTAACGCATGTTAATTAAGTTTTTTCATTAATCGCGTTTTAATAAATTACGCATTTGAAGCATGTGCTGTATGACCCGCCCATGCATCCCATGATAACAACATAATGCCGCGGATACATGCGTGTGTAATATGGCGACAGAGCAGATAGGCCCTCTGGGAATTCAAGTTTAAAAATAATACGCGCATGGCCGCGGGGCGCTTGCTGTGTTTTGCTGTATATGAACGAGAACGGGAGTCCACATCCTCCGTGGTGTTCTGACCCGGGGCAGCTGCGGCCGTTCTGGACAGCGGTTCTCACCTCCAGCGGCTGTGAGCCGCTTAGACAACAACATTGCGAACGGCGCCGCTGTAATATTGTCATATCCAAGACCATACACGCGCACAGAACAATTCCGAGCGAGTCTTTGCGTGACCTGTGCATGCAAAAAATACAAAGCTGAAGCTGGACTATGGAGCCTCAGAAAATGCGACTAAACTCGCTAAATTAAAGCTGGGGTACCTACAGTCATTTTTCCCTTGCAAATTCCCAACAATACTTTTGGTCTGTGTCCATCTTCCTCAGTCTGTGTTGTGATTTGTTTATTACTCTCTTGTAACGTAAACTATTATACTTTATTTCAATTTTTGAAACTACAGTATGTGTCTCCACAAACCATATAAATAACCTTGAAAAAAACTTTAAAAAAAGCATAGTTGAAGATAAGGGTCTCCCTAAAACATTGAGAGTAGCATCTCTCGACCCAACCCTCAAGCCACCAGCAAGAGGCACAATAATGAAAAGGATCAAAAAATTAAAAAATACGGTCTACTACAGAAAGAAAGAATGTTGATAATGTCAATGCAATTTTATGTGGATTTATTGTAGTTATAATAAACAAATACAGTACATATGTATACTATGTTGTCATTTATCTTTCCATTCAAACAACAATTTACAGAAAAAATAGTTTTGAATGCGATTAATTACGATTCATACATTTTTAAGCTGTAATTAACATGATAAAACATTTTAAAAGTTTGACAGCCCTAAAAAATATATAATATAAATCAGCATTTACTAATCTCAATTACAGTCAAATTAACTCAAGTACTGTTGTTGATTTTGCAACATTGCATTTCCTCCTAAATAATATTCATATTTTTTTTTATTAATTTATTGACACTTATTGAGCAAAATGCTAAATGAAAATGAAACCATAAACTATGGTTGTGCTACTGTACAAATAGTGCTACAACAAAACAGAAACTTAAAACAAATGATAAATTAAAGCCGCAAGTGGCGTCGAGCGGCCCTCGCCGCACCGCGCGCACCACCCCGCACCAAGCCGCTCCGCACCAAGCCACCCCAAATTAAGCCACCCCGCACCAAGCCGCCCCGCACCAAGCCGCCCCGCACCAAGCCGCCCCGCACCAAGCCGCCCCCCCACCAAGCACCACGCCGCCCCGCACCAAGCCGTACCACGCAGCACCGCGCAAAGGAGGTGGGGCCGCCGTGTGATGATTTGTTGCTGTAGCCATAGAAGAACGTTAGTCAAATAGTAATGAATATGATAATTAGAGCTGTTTGGTACCCCATGTAAAACTTTGCCTCAATCTGTAGGGGGCGCTAATGGGCCAATTTCAAATATTTCACTTTCACCTGACCTAAACCCTGTTGAACATTGGATTCAAGTTTTGTGCAAATCAGACTTTGTTTGTGCAAACGGGAGCGAATAGAATGTTGTGAAAAACGGCCAATAAACGCTCACATTTTGCCGCTCCGCTGCTTAAACAACGTTTCACTGATCAAAAATCCCTTTGGTCTTTTTGAAGGTGCATGTGTTGAGATGATGTCGAGCGATTTTGAGGCAAATCGGTGAAACGGGCGAGGAGGAGAAGATTTCCAACAGACATGTATGAAAATGATTATGGATCATTTTTCCATTTTGCAGTGACATTTATGGGCCTTCCGTTTGTCAGAGGGCGGAGCCATGATAACATTTTGGTCTTATCTTGACTTGAGGAACATGTGCATCGAATTTCATGGCTCTACGACAAACTTGACCTCTGAAACTCCCATTGGCTGTTTTAGGTGGCGCTGTTCTGGCATTTTTTGAGTCCCATATAAATAAACACCAAAATATCAAATTTTTCACCAGGTCTTATGTTTGGGCAAAATTTTACAACTTTTCATGCATGTTCAGGGGGTGAAATTAAGGCTCAAAGTGCAGAATTTGTCATCTCTCGAGCAAAAACAATAGGCCCTTTCCCCGTTCGGGGCTCGGGCCTAATAAGACTTGAAGCATTCATTAAATTAAATGTCGTAATATACAGTATACACAAACACAGTCAAAAGACAAGGCTTCTATCTATAACTCTACAACATAGGCATGCCGGTTGAGTTCTATGGCTCTAGTGGGATGGGCACTGGACACTGGGGGGGGTTTACGGGGTGGGCTCATGCAGATCACCTGACGGGCCGTGGGGGTCAGCTGAGGGAAGAGCGCTGGTAGAACGGGAATGTCGTCGAGAGGCTGGGGAGCAGGAGGAGGACAGGGGCACATCCGCAACATGGGTTGAGTGTTAGTAAATCACTTGGACTGATATCAATGATTATAACCTTCCCTGAAGCTGCTGAAGAAAAGCTGGCCCACAGCATGATGCCAGTCCCCTCAATATTTGACAACAATGGACTGAGAGGCAGAGGAGCAGGACAGGGGCAGGTCCACAACATGGGACGAGAGTGTTAGCATTTATTATTGAAGCTTGTTTACAATCTTCCCTGTCCCTGTTGTATAAAAGCCAGTCCACATGACGCTACCAACCCCTATATTTGACACTGGGGCTGGTGCTCTAAGAGGCAGCCTGCAGCATGATGCTATCCCCTGCATAATTGTCACTGAGAGGCTGAGGAGCAGGACAGGGGCACAGCTACAACATGGAACTTGAATGTACTGTATGTACCAAGTGAAACTTAAACTGAAATCGATGTCGACAGTCTTCCCTGTCCCTGCTGAAGAAAAAGCCAAAAAGTACAAATACAACTTGATACACAAGATTATCAAAATGGGACCGTATGTAATATGTCTTTTAGTCATTACAATTACAATCCCACTTTTGTTGCGAGAATCTTCCCTTGCGACCCATGTAACTGGAAACTGTCCAAACTGTGTGTTACGTATGACTACTTATTTTCTTACCGGCTTAAATTTAAACAAATGTGCGGTGCTATACTTTCGTTTGTGAATTTCACCTAACAAACTAGCAACCTACATGCTTAATTCTTCTATCTGATTAAATAATAATTTATTGTTTTCATAAGGGAAATTGGTCTCTGGCTCGATGGTTTTTGGACATAAAAGCGGTTACTTCAAATCTAGCAATTATCAGATTATCAGCTGACATCATTCTGCGCCACTGTTCGTGGGACCTGTATATGAAATACATCTATATTGTGTTCTTCTGTACAAAATCCTCCTTTGACAAACTCCTTTGATATATAAAAAAAAAAAAAAAACAATAAAATGTGCAGGAGAATTTGTATAGAAGGGGAGGGGCGTTGTGTTTGTGCTGAATTGTGCCAGAAGTTTCTGACAGTTAGTGTGGATCGGGATGAAAGCAAAATGAAAAAATGCGACAATTTTGCATTTTAGAGGTCATTCTTCATCCTTTTAACTTACTTACTAAGCAGTACTAATCACTTTATTCATGTTTTATCTGAATTACACAGTTAGTCACATGCATACAGAGCATCGAAAGATGTAGTTGCGTGTTAGCGGTTAGCCAGTACTCACCCAATGGAGTGAAGCCACGCGCAGGGCTGGTGTCGCGGCTGCTCTCCCGACTCGTGTCGCGACTACAGCCCTGACTCATACTGGGCCGGGGGATGCGGCTCCGGGCTAGCGTGCGGTAGGAAGGGACAAGACTTTTACCACACAGGCTGAGGCTGGCTGTCAGGGCAACAAGTGATGCGGCCATGTCAGAGAGGTTATGACAAATGAAAGGCATGAAGCAAAAGGGGGAGAGAGGGGGGGTGTACTGAAAGTGCGGATGACCGGTTGAAACACCTTGGTCTATTTTTGTGTACGAATACTAGTGTTATCACAAGTCCAGGGCTGAACAGGCCATCGGGCGTACATTCTCCTGTTGCATTAACCAACCAACAACCAACCTGTTGGTGGTTGTGCCCAAAAGCAAAATGTTGTGAACAAATCAAACAGATTTAATGACAGCCCTTGGCTGACATTATTTGAAATGTGCTCTCATCCCTGTAACAAACAATAGTTTTGGTTTGTGTCCAGCTCCCTCACTCTGTAGTGACATGTTTATTACTCTCAATGTTAACTAATTGCACTTTATTAACTGCATATATCCTGATTCTCTACAGTATGCGCTTACGCATACTGTATAAATAACTGTAAAGAAAAAAACATGAAAAAAAAAAACGGCCGGGCCGTCAAGAAGGCAAAAATGCCCGGCACTTTTTTGGTCCCAGTCCAGCCCATGGACAAGTCTAAATTTCAATAAAAGGAATAATACTCTGACTATTTCAGACCATGTCAATTGTTAGGTCTTGTGTGTGTTGTATTGTGAATATCAAACCTGATGGCTGCTGCAGCTGTTAAAAGCCATGGAAGTTGATCTGCATAATAGTGATTTACCACTGTACAGCATGTCTAGGTTGGCAGAGCTGAAGTTGGCTGGATTACACTGAACTTGTGTTTATGATCTGTTATTACTTTAACATACAGTATATTTGGGAATTCATATAAGTAATAAGGATAGAATAATGATGATGGGCAAGGAATGACAAGTATTTTGAAGACATTGCATAAGATTAAACAAGACTGAAGCGTTGCTGCTGCAGGATGAGTAACAAAAATCATGCTGAAAAGAGTTTTTAGACTCAAACAATGGCCTGACAAATGTTAGACAAGTCTACACATGCAAAGGTACAGGATTTGAAAAAAACAACCCAAGCTCCCTCCCCCTTCCTTTCTGATTGGTCTATGCCTACGTTTCCGTAACACATTTAAATGTTAATCTGAGAACACATTATACTTATACATTATTAATACACATGCACAGAGGTTTTCAGAATTCAAGTATTTGTTAACGTTTTCATGACAATAATAATGTTTTAATGCACAAATAAAGCAATCGCGGTAAACCCGGAAGTAGCTATTATTGTTGATAGAACATTATAGGACACATCTGCAGAGGATCTGATTATGGATATAGGTTCAGTATATAAATGGGTAACTCAGCGCGGATGTTCAGAATTCTTTGTTAAGTTTTCATGAAGTTCCAGAACCTACAAAGGCTTGATTCGGAGGTTCAGCAAAAACAAACAACTGAGCATCAGCGCCGATGATTGACAGCCCTTGGCATCACATGATTGGTTAATGTGGACGGCATCGTGGATATCTAGCTATAGCTAAGAGAAGGGAAGGCAGGACTCACCCGTAATATTAGAATTCATAAAATGACTTATTTCATATCAATATTTAAGGCCAGGAGATCAATTTTATACAATTCTTAAAATTTGTAATTCATTTAGAGTTCCAGACTATTACTTTAAATGTGACCTGTATAGGTTCACCCAGAGTCACACTCAGTGAGTGTTTTTCAAAGCAGGAGTGAAAACCACATCCTCCTCCTACTTCAATTTAGTCAGATTGATAAAGACGCTTGAAAATTCAAACTTTCAATCTATGCATTTGAACCATAGACTGTATATATTAATGGACAGAGTCACGCCTATCTCCGCCGTTCATAGGAGTTGGCCATGAAAAGTGCTTACATGGAGCAATCCAAGATGGCCCACAAGAAAACTGTGGAAAAACGCATCTGCGAATGCGTCAGCTGGCGCAGCTCCATTCATTTGAACGAGAGACTTCAAAAATTCCCCGCGAGTAAACTAGAGTGGACCAAAAAAAATCACCCCCCTCAGCATTGACACACATGTGGAACGGAGCTTTGGGCCAAGAGCCAACTTTTGGTCCATCCTGTAAAGACGTTTTTGAGAGGTCTGCTAACGCTATATGTTAGCATTGGCTAATTCTTCTTCTGGGTCCACCCCCAACGGCCCGGGGTGGTATTGCAAGCATGTCAGCGCACGTCATTTTGGCCACTGAGCTGAGTGTGTGTGAAAAGCAAACATTGTGTTGTGTGGTTACATTAGCCGAACGTGTGTTTATATATGTGATTACACTGAACTTGTGTTTATGATCCATTACTACTTTAACACACAGTATATTTGGGAATTCATATAAGTATTAGGGATAGAAAAATTGGCCCTTTCAAGATAACGAAAAAAACAGTATATAATGGACATAATGGATGTTTGTCATTCTATCTACTTGAAATAACTGCCAAGCTGAAAATGAACTTCCATGTTTCTCTGGTGAGCATAGATCCAGTCTATAGCCTTGATTTTTGACAGAATAATAAGGGAAAGTTACAAGACGCGCACAGAGACGACACCAGAACTCCTCAGACCCGTTTGAGAACATTTTTTGAACTGTCTATATTCAAATTTTTTTGGAAAAGCAATATGAACTTAACACTTTGTTTGTCAGGAGGTTGAGATAAGAGGGAGACAACAGGTGAATATGTAGGAGAAAGCGACAGTAGCTCAGTTGGTAGAGCATTAGTCTTTGTGCCTGAAGATTGTGGGTTCGAGCCCACCATGGGACCTACTCCAACTGTTTCCACAAATATCAACTGTCGTTGTGTCCTTGGGCAAGACACTTAACCCCACATTGCCTGAAGCCCCTGCTGAAGGAACAAAGCTGCATCAAGAAGCCATCTTCCTGTGGAGGCACCACCTGCAGGAGGATCAGCAGGTGACTGGTGCTATGAGCATTGGGTGGCAGCTCTCATTGCCACCCCCCCCGACCTAGAAATGGACTAATAAAAGGGTTGAAAATGAATTAATTAATTTGCGGGCTCTGTATTTGTAGTGCTAAGCGTCTACACAGCGACGGAAAACAATGTAGTTCTAGCGCCTGGCATGCGCAACCCCCACCAGTATAACCACTTCCTTAAGAGCATCCTCCTCAGGCCACCACAGAGACGTAAAACATAATTCTGCATTTAACAGCAGCAGCAAAAATGGAAACTGAAACTACAGCTTAGCATGGTATTGATTGGACAGACGAAGGAGTAGAGTTGCATAGTGGATCTGCTACTGCGCATGTCCAAATAAAAGTACGGAGAAGTGGTATGGTCATTGCAGCCACTCTGGAGACTGTTTCTCAACGCTTGCGTTTCTCTCCCCTGAAACACCGTCTCCTTGTGAACAAAAGGCCAATCCGATTCCCAACTCTATCATTTTACTGTCACAGCGTCTCCGTGTAAACGTCCTCTTACAGCCACTGGGTCACTGGAGCAAATATATGTGAAATATTGATTTTCATTTGCTGCAGCTGAAGTTGCCCGAATGAAGATAGATTATTTCTCACATTGTACTGATTCTTGATGTTCTTAGCTTTAAAGTGATGTGACATCTCTATGGGCAGACCTATAGTTCGTGACCAAATTAGTTGGTGCTAAGTGGGGACCAGAACTTCCAATGATAAAAACACATAAACCATGACGGACATTTAAATAATGGACTAGACTCCATTAATAAGGTTGGATTTCGGATTTAGGAATGCTTCTCACCCACCTCACTAAACAGTCATGAAGGATCAAAAACCCTGCACCATCTCCGTAACAGTACTCTGATGACGGATGATCAGCCTCTCTAGACTGGGTCCATGGTCCTTGGTCTTACCCAGTCCCATGCGGCTCGGGCTGGTCTCACGGCTGCAGCCCTGGCTCCGGGGGATCCTGCTCCGCTTGTCTGAAGGAGTGGAGGAGGCTGAGGTGGAGACTGTGGAGCGGGGAATACGGCCATAACTCCCCAGGAGTTTCCCCGGAGAACTGGAGCGGCTTCCAGCTACATGAGATTAGGAGAGGGGGGTTAGACCATGTCAGAGGCTGGAGGAGACGGATCAGACTTGGGGAAAGCTCCATTTTTGTGTGCTAACTTTGTCAACAGCTCCTACTAGAAAAGATAATGCAGCATTACTCTGACTGAGGCAGCAAAAATAGCTATTTAAAACATTACATTGCCCATATTTGAATGCAATATGTTAATAAATTAAATAGAGGATTACAATTAAAAATTATTTTAACCTAATACTACTGCTACTACTGAGTGTTACTACTACTAGGACTAGTACTGCAGCTGCTGCTGCTGCTACTGCTACTACTGCTGCTACCGCTACTACTATTACTACGACAACTACTTTTACTGCTGCTACTATAGTGGCATGTGAACAAAGTCACATACGTTTCTTTAAACATTTTCCGAAAGCATCAGGACCCAATGTAAAGCCATTACAGTTATGAGAAGCTCCCGGACCCTCTCCCACCTGTGGCCTTCGCACCGAATATGCACCAAATAAAATTAATCAGTTTTTATAAATGCATGAGGAAAAGCAGGAGGACAGAGAGACACACCAGGCAGTGACAAAACACCAAAACCAAACACAAAATGAAGAACCAGCAGAGAAATAACTTGAGTGTGAGGTGGAGGATGGTCCTGCTACAATGAACAGAAAGTAAAAAAGCAAAGATGTGGACGTGCAAATCTCTCAGGTGCTGAGGTTGGGGAGCGTGGATGGGGCCTTACCACTGATGGGATTGGCTGATCTGGATCCTGCAGGAGTAAGGCGGGTAAGTGGAGAACATGAGACACAGGGTTATGTAAATGTGGTCACACTGACGCCCTATGAAGGCCTGTTTAGATTCTGTGATTAAGATTAAACGAGTGATGAGACAGGTCACAGGTAGTCAGTGTCACTGGCTGCGATTCTGTTCAAACGTGGCACTGTGGGAGGTCTGAAGTTGGGTTTACAAACAACATCACTGCTTCTCTACCTATACTATTCATTCTGTTGCTGTGATGATCGCTGCACAGCTAATATTTTAGCCTTCAAACAGATCTGGAGAATATTTGTATTAGTATTTTTATCCACTAACTTGCATTCACATTCCAAAGAGCCTATAGTTTAACATTGTGGTGGAGGGCAGCTGAAGGTTCTAATCTTAGTCTAGAGCAAATTTTTCTCATCCCTGGGCCAATCCACATTAAATATAAACTATCTCAAAGGTCCATATCTTCTTTTTCAGCATATATCAACGATGGTCTCCTTATTATCTTATAAAGGTGTCTAGAATTGGTGTCAATATTCATAATAACAATGCATCGGTATTTCATTGCGCTTTTTGGACACTCAAAGACGCTTTACATGTCATTTCTCTTCACTCCATACACGGTGGTGATAAACTACCACTGTAGCCACAGCTGCCCTGGGGCACACTGACAGAAGCGAGGCAACCAGTATGTGCCATCAGCCCCTTCGACCACCACCAACCATTTATACACACATCAGACTCATTCTAAGCCATGGGGGTGAAGTGTCTTGCCTAAGGACACAATGGCAGTTTGGCACTTTACAGCCGCAGCCGCCCCACTGTGGCCAAGGACATGGATGTATAATAATAACTGGATAGAGTATTACTAGCTTATAGCTGTCCCACCCATGGGCACAGGGGGCGGCCGTGGTACTGCAGACTAAATTCACGAGGGCTACCCAGAAATGTTCCCCATAGATCTCAATGTAAACTAAAACAGCTCGACCTCGGCTCACAGAGAACCTACAGATTTCATAAAGATCGGATTTTGTGGGGATTTTAGTGTCCCTTGACATTATGAACTTTTTTTCTTCTTAAATCATTCGGTTTTCTTTAAATCCATCCTTTACTGCCACAAACTCTGCTTGTTACCTTCCCGCTCTGACTCAGCTCTACCACTGCTCTGATCAGCAGCTAGTATTGGTCAAAACGCGGCTGAGCCCCTCTGTGCACCCGCATGAGGGCCACACATGCGTATTTGGCGCAACGCATCATGGGAGCTCGTCCACTGCGCAGAACCGGGAGGACCAGACGATGCCCAAATATAGCTGAGATCCGCTGATATGTACAGTAGGTCCCATTTCGTTTTGTCGCCTTTCACGCGTGAATAGCACAAGGCTCACGCGCGAATCACGTGTCTTTTCTTTTTTTCCCCCCCAGTGACGCTGCAATGACCAAAACAACTACCAGGTGGCACTTGTGAGCAGGGTTACATTGGCGTCTCATCGCTCTTTCTTCTCTCTTCACCGGACAACTATCTGTGGCTTTAAGCCTAGCGTACTGTACATCGGACTGGCAACTGATTATATCCGTCGCCTATGAGTTTCTGCCCCGCGCACATCGACAATCTGGTTAAAACGGGCAACTCCTTGTAGCAGGCCAGTCTCTGGAATAACCCGCAGACATTAAAACTACTGCATATAACGTAAACTTTTGCATCACGTTGGTGATCTTTCCAAAAAGAGAGAATATCGTTATGGAAAGAGAAACTATTGGTAATATAACGCTGAACGTTATCTGACTCAAACAGCTCCGCTGGTGTCTCCTCCCACTCAGAAAAAAAAGCAGACGCCTTTTCTCTGGCATCTCTAACATTTATAATAAATACATAAATATAAAAATCATAATGAAGATGCTTTCAAATAATTTAGCAAGCTGTAATTCATTTATTTTAACTTCCTGCCAAACTTCTCTCGCTGCTCTCTCCTCCGCAAACCACTAAATGAGGAAAAGGGAATATTCACTCAATCTATTTTGAATGTTACACATACAATATTAATATAGTCTAAGCACGTGTAACACCTGTAGCCCGTGTATTTACCACAGACTGTAAGTATTAAAGTAATGAGGCACCTGCTTTAGGCCTCTGCTGTGAGGCCCACACCGTCATCAGTCTCGGTGCCTCTGTGTAGATCACACGTCTGTCCTCGGGCTGGAGTGTTCTGAGGCTTTAAGCGGGTAGTCAGGAAAGAGCGATCCTGTTTGTCAGCATGATTTTTTTGTTTAACAGCCTCCCTGCGCGATTGCAAATGTACTCAAGGGACTCCCATACCGTGGCTCACATATATAATATTATATAGGGATCAGGAGCTTTCTGACCCGACCCACCCGCACCTGACATGACTCATATTTTTGAGGCATCCAACCCGCCCGAAACCGCGGGACCCGCGGGTCGACTGCGGGTTTCGGGCCGACCCGCGCATCTCGCATGTCCTGTTTTAATTGGACTTCTGGTCCATGCACCAGAAGTCGCATTAATGGTGAGTGTTATAACAACATTATTTAAAAGAATAAATTCAGAGGCTTATTATATATATATATGATTCGAAGTTTGCGTGTTTCCGTTAGACTTTTTCTGATGCGCAAATTCAATTTTTTAAACATGATGCCAGAGTGTGAACATGTTTATTGTTGTCCAAATCTTGAATTTCATGCGTGTTTTGGCGTGTTGTGCCGAAGGTATAAATGAATAGTTGCTAGACTGTAGTAAACTTGTAAAACGATATTGCTAATACAAATGTATGATGGGTGGGAAACTTTCTTTCTCCGTGTTTTACAAATATAATGGAGTTGGCTGATGAATGTCTGCTTAGTTTTACGTACAGTAGAACAGTTCAGTCTAACTTTAGACTCAATTGTGTAATTGAGCTGCTACAGAGACATTTGAGCTCAATGACCGCTATAAACGGTTTGATGTCTCTGTTAAACAACATTCAATATTTTATACTTTGCTGCAGACTGTTACTGTAGGCTACAAATGTTTTTCCTTCACTGAAGCAATTATTTCTCTGCTAATGTTTGCATGAACTTAGTTTGCATTTTTAAAGGCCAACAAAAGCCACCACCTTGCCACAAGAGGACATGAGACAGGAGTGTCCAGTGAAAGAGAAAGAGGTGTGAAACCCACCCATCTGGTGAATTTCTTTAGCGTGTGTAGTGTGTGTAGTGCGTGTGATTGTGTGTGTATACGGTGTCTGATGGTGTGCGTGTTGTGTGTGTATACGGTACTTGATGGTGTGTTTGCTCGTGCGCGTGTGATTTTTATCGACTAGGACGCAGCTTTTGATTGTGAAATCAAAATAAAACTTTTGCACCATTGAATGAGACTGTCTCTGCCTCCTCCTTAAAACTTACCTGTGTGCTCTATTTAAGTTAATTATATTTCCCAGGTCCTAGACCTGGGTGGCGTTGTTGGTTTTAAATTTACCACTTTATAGTTCGCCCACCGCTCGCGCTACATATGGCATAATTTTGCCGATAGTTTGAAATGCAATTAATTACGATTAATAAATGTTTAAGCTGTAATTAACTCAATTCAATTTTTTTATAGTATGATAGCCCTAATTATTTGTTATAGTTCTTTCATCAAATTCATTCACATTGTTTGGCTTCACTATTTCATAGGATAACTTTGGCCCAACACTGACAAAGAAGCTGTTAAATGCATTTACAATATCCTTTCTTTCACTGATTATTGATTTATTTACTGTGAAGTGATTTGGATATTCTTCCTTTTTCCCCCCCCGTTCCTGATAATGCCATTTAATGCCTTCCAGGTACCTTGGATATCACTCTTGTTCTGCTCCAGCAAATTGTAATAGTATGCTTTTTTATTAGGCCGAGCCAATACGAAGTATTGGGGAGGCCTATTGTTATTCACCGGTTTCATATTATTATTCTTTTTCTTTTTCCGCAACTTCAATTCGATTTTTGACCCTGAAGACATGCACGAAAGTCTGCACATGGGGGGTCTAAAACGACCGGTTCGGCGAAAAATTTGATAAAATGAACGTTTCCAGATTGTCCGACGCTCGCCGACTCTATAACGCCCCCTAGAAATTTCATTTTTTTGGACCCTCTGGGGATTTTTTTTCAAATTTTTGAGTAGGTATACGAAATTCGGATGAGTGATAGATCTCTATGAGACGAGCATAAAAGCCGTTCTAAGCACATGTCTGGGACCAACAGGAAGTCGGC